ATAAGCATTATGTACAAATGTGACCGAATGGAACGAAACAAGAAGGAAGTCAAATGTGGTCTAACTTGTGACTGTTTCAATGTGGACCTGGTGTCAGAAAAAAATTACAATTTTGTTCCTAACTATAGAGGTCTTGTCACCTTTAATTAAAAAAAAAAATCTAAATCAAGTCAGATTGAAGTATTGAAGAAAGCAAGACCGCAGCATTTCCTCTGAGATGTTGCTCAGATGCACAGTGTAGAGCTGGTGCTTTAAGCTGCAGAGGTGCTACTATATGAAGATCAATGAAAGAAGAAGATGCACATAATATTCTCAAAAACCAAAGTTGCATAGCTGTGAAAACTGAAAAAAGAAGTTAACCTCACCTTCTGGCTTTACAATGTGACTATAGAGCTTTCCATTATGACACACCTTGAATGTTTCACTTCTCTCGTGTGGATAATTTGGGAACTGGACAGAAGCTGCTTTTCTCACAGTTATGTTGGAGTCCACTAAGTCTGCACTGCCTGTAGGATGTAAAAGTGTCTTTTCCTGTGACATAACTAATTGATGAGGCAACATGGACAAGGCTGAAACTCTACTCAGAGAGCAGCAGCTTAAGGTGAGTTGAGCTTTACAGAAGCATCTCTGGATTTATGAATGAGGACACAATATCCCACAGAAGTGAAGTGAACTTTCCCAGTTTCTTTGATTGTGCATTGTATTGTATTGACAGTTTCACCCAAGACATGGATCTGTGTATTGGCCATCAAAAGGGAAAGTTGTACGGTTTGGAGAGGATTTGTAAACTTGCTTGCTTTCTCTTATATTTTTAATTGGAAATTTTAAGTCAACACCTGATGGTTTTAGTCTTGCATTTGCAGCAGTGAAGTATTCAGGGCTCTTTTCCTGGTGGTGTTTTTGGAGTCTAGTGTTAGGCAGATATTTCCCCAGTGTTTTCTGCTGTTCCATTTCATCTTGATTCAAGCTCCCCTGGGGTCTAGCCTCATCCCTCCTGGTGTTCTCTTGATATTCAGGGCACTTCCAGGACTGAAACCTGAGCTAGCTTGTTTCTTTCTATCAGTGTGTTGGAGTCAGTGGGGGTCAGAGCCTGAAACCCTTGGCAGACTACAACCACCATTGCTCTCACCATTAAATCTTGTACCCGTCACCACCCACCTGCTGACTCAGTGATACCACTTCCAGTCCATTTTCTCTTCTCCTCCTCCTTTAAGCTCTTGTGATGCTAAAACAAAGATGAATGAATCTGGATTTGTTCTAAAGGCTCTTAAGGAGTGAAGACCAGAAGAAAGTGGTATTCATACAGAATTGGCTCACAGCATTTTTTTTTAAATTAGCTAGACCATTTAGAGTAGAATTTGATTTGATTCTCGTTTGCTGGTTTCTTAAATGTGAAAATTTGGTGCTTTTCAGATGACACGTGACTTCCTCCACAATGGGAGCGGTTTAGGCTGTTTTGTCATGTTGTCCATGGAAATGTGACTCATTTCCTCCCACCACAGAGTGTAACTGTAACCTCTAATCTTTAGTCACCACCTCTTTTGTTATTTGTAAAGCCAGACTCTAATCATTGCTGTGACAGTGGCAAATATACAGCTGTTGAACTGCAGTCACTCCAAGTTGACATGTTGTCACCTGAACCTTGTAGCTGTCTGTATTATCCTAATTGCTGTTATATTGTACTGCATACTGTAAGTGTGACTTGTAGTGATGGTAGTGTATTTATTGTCTGTTATTTTTGCGGCTTTTACATTTTGGTTATCCCCAAAGACAAATTGTATGTGATAGCACAGATGTTACATATAACCATCTAGGAAGCATCAGAGTGTGTGTGTGTGTGTGTGTGTGTGTGTGTGTGTGTGTGTGTGTGTGTGTGTGTGTGTGTGTGTGTGTGTGTGTGTGCGTGCGTGTGTGAGAACGTGCTGAAAACATGGGTTTAGTGGTTGTTGTGAATGCACTTCCTGATACTTTGCCTTCTGGAAATATGTTCATTTTTATTCAAGATGTGGTCAGACCATATTATCAGTTACTTCAGGACTTGATGCATGTCAAATTTAGTTATTTAGTGGTAATAAAAACTGGACCATGCAGACATCCAGTTACTACATGTTTGTCTCCCACTTTTTTAACTGCGGGACTCCATTTCTACCAATTACTCTAGCCCACTCATACCTTTCTTTAATATTGCTCAGTAGCTCTAGTCTCTTACACTCTTTTCATGTTCACTCGTTTGGAAACAGCTTTAAAATACTGTTTGTTTGCTTTGACCATGTCAATACAGCATTTATGCGTTGTAGTTTTTTGGGGGGGATGCACCAACTTCTTAAACAGGCATTGGTTCTTCAGCCTCAGTTTTGATTATATCTGTGATATTCCTTCCTTTACAGTTAGAATAAGAATAAGAACTGACTTCATATTTTATGGTTAATAAGTGACTGTGTGAGCTTTTTTGAGGCTTCCTTGGAAAACTACAGTGTTGTAATGGATTCTGCTTTTGCAGGATTCTGCATTAAACCTATTTTGTCTCAGCTAGACTGGTATTTTGAATAAGGTAGAAGGTAAATTGTGTGCACTTACATTAATAATTAATAGTTAATGATGCCAGACAGAGAGGACAGAGAGCACTGATTGTAGTGTAAAATAGCTTTAACAGTAAATGCCATTTAAATCTTTAACCCTGATTCCCATTCAGTAACAGCTATGTCCCTCACATTTCTCCCTGAATAGGTGTTGCCCTCCATATACTGTACATTAAAATAGAAAACACTGCATAGAACTTTGTCAACATTTTTTTTTGTGTAAGTGCCTCCATGATGAGTAATCTGCCTGTCTTGTCAGGCAGCCCCTAAAAAGAGGCATCTTTACTCATATCCTGAGATGAGGCATGTTAGGGTGGAGCGAAACGACTGCCACATAATTTAGAGATTGCCTGGGAAACTGTAGCACATATCTCAGCTCATTTAGATAAGTGAAAGTACTCCATGTTCCCTAAGGCCTTTACCTTGTGGAGAAGTAGTACACATATTAACATGAGCGTAAAAGAGAGAGAAATGAATGGATTTATAAAATCCAGTTATGGTCCCACAGTTTGTGTGGCCTGTTAGCAGATTACTGGCTTTTGTTCAGCTGTGTTGGTTTAACAAGTACACTAGTGAAAAAAAAACAAAAAAAACAAGTACACTAGTGAAAAACAAAAAAAACAACAAGTACACTAGTGAAAAACAAAAAAAACAACAAGTACACTAGTGAAAAACAGTGCTCTCTGTTGTATTAGCAACACTGCTCCCTGACTGCGCTAGCAGTAGTTGTATGACTTCACTTTTAAATTGTGTTATGCCACTCAAGTATAAATGACTTCTTGCTGATGTGCGCCTTCACCTTAAAGAAAGTGGTTTGACCCTTGTTATCTGAAGCTAAGCTGGAGTGAGTTGGAAGCATTTGCAATAAATGTTCCGTGTCACTTCTGAAGAAAGTCTCTAGCAAGACAGTTGGGTCAAAGTGTAAAATACATAAGATGCAAACATGCTTAATCTAGTCTCTCATTTACAACCACAATGTTTGCCAGCAGACTTAATTATAAGGTAGTGCAGTTTGTTTGTGTTATTTTTCTTTAAATTACATAAGTCCCATGGCAGCCATAATTTGATTTTAAGACTTGTTGACAAAGATGTGCAGTAATCTCAGACAGTATAGTTTGAGCCACTGCAAAGGAACATGTTGTTAGTATGTTATTCAGTGGAAAGTATTTAAATCGGGCATGTCATGGCAACATGTAGCATGACTGCCTTGAAACCCGGCATCTATACTATTAGGGACAGCTGAGCAGGGGTGTCATTTAGAACCTGAAGTCACTATTAACTCACTGCTTTGGCATGTGTCTGTATTTATTTACCAAGCAGCAACCTCTGGGCTTGTAAAAATGAAGCCCATGTCCAAGTGCCAAAGGTGCATTTCCTTAAATGGCCTAGTGAGGCTGGTTCCAAAGATGAGCAATCTGCAGCTGTGCAGTTACCACTCTCACTTAAAGTGTCTTCACACTTAAAAGTTATTGATGTTTGAGACATGGTTGCTTTTAATGCAAGGTGGGTGCTGAGACTGTTTTGGTGCATGTTGGAGCTTTTTTAAGCTCATTATTTTACATTATCTGACACTAGACTGACAGACACTGCAAGAAGTCTTTTCATAGCTTATTTATTTATAGGGGATGAATTTTAGCAATGACGAGAGGGATTGTGTTTGTGTAATACACCCTTAGCTATGGATGCCTTGAGCTGGTCAAACTGGTGATAACTTAGCACTGCCATTAGCACTTAGCAATCCTCTCATAATTTAGCTGTTAAAAAATAAAACAAAACAAAAAGTAGCAATAGTAATTATGGCTGAAATCTTTAAAACAGTAGTTCAGGTAAGTTCACAGAGGATCTTTCCTATGTGCTATAATAGCATATATCTGCAATAAGCTAATATCAGAAAATGCTGTTACAGGTTGATTCAATTGCAAGTTGTTTGCAAATTAGAGTGCCAGATTTAGGTAAAGTATAGATCAGCCTATATGTAATGGACAGTCAGTACACCTCTTGCTTTAGTGATCCATTTATATAATCTTATGAAGCTTATGGACAGGGAATCTATCACAGTTAAATGTAGATAACATTCAGCTTGAAGAAATGAGAGATGATTATCAACTGACAGACTAAAATATAAATTCATTACAGTTCATTCAAATTGGGCATTTTCCAAAGTTCAAAGTTTCCTTCATTCCACAGACCGTGTTATATAAAGAATTAAAGAGCTTTATCCTCCAAAAAGAAGAAAAACAGCTCAGCAGGAACAATGGCTAATGTGTGTTTGCAGGATTAGCCACAAAGCAGCCTATTGGGTAGTAAAGGTAGAAGGGGGTGTAGTAATCAGATTAATGACTTCATGGTTTAATCAAGTTCTGTGCTAGTTCCTTCTCATTATGCTTCTTATTCTTGGTGCATTCTCGGAGTTTACACTGGCCCCTGTGAAATGAAAATGTTTGCGTATTAGGTATTATCAGGAGTCTTTGCACCACTGTATTCTGGATCTTCAAACTATCAGCACTCAATTATTATTCCAGGACAGGTTTTTCTTTTCTCTTTTATCCCAGTGAGACGGATTAATTTGCGACTTATTTTCCTATCCTGTTGCTTCATGAAAACAGTGACCATGTTGCGGAGAAGAAGTGAGTTTTTTGTTTTTCTGGACAGTGCTCTTTCTGTGAGTACACAAAAAGAGGAACAGAAAGAAGAGCCACCGCTGAGCCCTAGTGACGAGTATCTACAGGTGCTACTGCAGATGAAAACGACCAGTGCTGTAAGTCAAGTATTTCTGACTTCAGTCATATTTGCACAGTGATTCGTTTAGTTCAGACAAACAGCAGGATTAGTCAAAGGTATGGGTAACAGTCATAAAGGGTTCTGATATACTGTCTGAGTGAAAGAAGAGACGCCGAGCTGCAGCAGAACTTTCCATTTGATGTCCAAACTTTCCTTCTTGAGTTGGCTATGACTAACAACTGACATGCAGAAATGTCCTGTTACATAAATGCCACACGAAGCTCTTCTTATTAAAGGAGCAAACCTATGAGAGCTCATACTTCTTACCAGTGTTACAAGACAGAAGTAAATAACAAGATAGCACAGTAAAAAAAAAAACTATAGCTTAAAGCAAGAGTGCATTATGCACATGTGCATGAATCAACTTCCATCCTTAAATTTTCAGACCATCAGAGGAGTTATTTCTATAAATACCTGCAGTGCATGCAAACAAGAGTTGTTTTACGTAAGGTCATCCACCGCCTCAAACAGCTGTTCATATTTTACAGGAAGTTTTGCGTGTATGGTTGCTGCACATGTGCATTTGCCCTGGACACGTGTGCCTTGTACTTTCACAGTTATTTTCATATTACCTAACATGAGACAGTTGATAGCTGATCCTGAAAAGTGATAATAAAAATTGTTTTCATATCATCATCAGTTTTGTTGTTGTTGGTAAGGCTGAGGCAGGGGGGCACTGTATTTGAAGAGTGTTCTACCTGCTAGTCTTTTTTTGCTTTAATTCATTATGAGGACATAGGTAAATTTAGTGCTTACACCATAATAAGTCCTTTTAACCCAAGTTATGATGCCTCTGAGTGTACTTTCTTTCTTTAAAGTTGCCATTGCCCGTAAGTTTGCAGGTAGGCTACTTATTGACTTTTATAACTCACTGAATTTTGTGCTATTTATTTGTGCTATTTAAATACTCCACGCTGCAGCTGGTGGAGCTGTGATTGAATACGTGTACCATTTACAAAACTATTATTAGACCAAACCTACTTTGAAGTAATCATCATAATTTCACACTCAAAGCCTTAAACATTTAACATTAAAGTTAGTGTAACATCCTAACACAGACCGGCTTTTAGATGGTGTTTGATAATGATTTTGTTCATAGTTGGAGATAGGGCTGCCACGATTAGTCGACTAGTCACGATTATGTCGACTATTAAAATCGTCGACGACTAATTTAATAGTCGACGCATCGTTTGAAGCTTTGTAAGATCACAAAGGACGCAGGAATGAGTAGTAGGATTTAAGAGTGTAATAACGGACTGAAACAGAAGATGGCAGCACTGCATGTACAAGGATGCCAGCTGCCGTTAAACCCCGAAGAAGAAGAAGCTGTGTCCCAGAATTCATAGCGCAGCCCAGCGCAGTTGTCAACAATGGCGGCAGCTAGTTAGTTTTAACTTTACTCTTATTATTCTTTCTTGGTCACAAAATAAACGTTTAACATATTTTCAGGCGAGAATGTAGCTGTGTAAACCTCAAATATCTGCTCAGTTTATCAAGACACCACATATTTTCAAAAGCGCTCCGACGTTTTCGGAGACGTCTGTTACCCACTAGCTCGTTAGCTAGGCGGGGGCAAGGCTAACTAGAGCCGTGAGAACACCGGACTCCCGGCAAATCGTTTTCAAACCCACCGCCGTCTTTCGCTAGTCAGGTTAAACATATATATAAGTCACTTAGATAACTTAAAAATGTTATTGTTTGGCTTTCTTTAGTATTTTATTTGTTCCTGAGTAAATCGGTTTGGCTGAGATTAAAGTTATAGTTTTTGCACAGCTAAAACTGTCAAGCAGACAGCTGATTATCAGAAGTGTGAGACGCTGGAGAATATACTCCGGTGTCCTGTTATATTTTAGAAAGCAAGGAGTTTATTAAACTTCACCGAAACAATCTGCAAATTTCATTAAAAATTAATAAACTACCATATTGTCTTTATTTTTAGTTAGCACAAACACTTCAAGCTGTAAGCTAATGATAGTTATATAAGACCAGATGCTGCTGGTGCAATAAGCTGTACGCTGTACGTCCAATGGATGATGATCTGATTAGTCGACTAATCGCAAAAATAATCGGTGACTAGTCGACTATCAAAATAATTGTTTGTGGCAGCCCTAGTTGGAGACGAGTGACGAGTACCTACAGCTCGTGCTGCAGATGAAAATAATTTTGTTTTGAGCTGTAGTATGCAAACAAATGCAAAATTTACACTCGACTGCTTATTTTAACAAAATGAAGCAACACATCTGTGACCTGGTGTCAGGTAGTTTTCAGCTGACTAAAAGTAAACTTTCAGTAATTTTACTAATTAAGCCATTTGGTTTGGGGGGATTTGTTTACCACAGTTGTGAAAACACCTTGGATTTAAAGATGTAGCTCTTTAGTTTAAATCAATCGTGACCAATTTCTCCTCCTGGACTAGGGGGTCATACCGAGCTATGGAGGCATTGTTCCACCCCACTTTATTGGACAAAGCCTGATGTGTGTCAGAGAGAGGGTTTGGCATCTCCACCAAATATTTGTTCTTGCAGCTGAACGCCCACTGTCGTGAGGAGGCACAAGAAAACGCTGCATTGACCCACTCAGGGGGACATCAGTTTTCACTCCATCTCTGAGGGTGGTGCTTTTGTCTGGTCAGTAAAAAGCTGTATGTAACGTTCTGAATAATCACTTAATAAACCAGACCAGGACATTTTGTGCAACTTTGTTTTTTTTTAAAGTTGAGGCTACATTTGGTAGAACAATTGGGCTATTTGTTTTTTTTCTTTCTTTCTTTGGTGTGACCCTCACAATTTAATGACCAGTTCTCAGTGAAAGCAGATTCTTCTCATTCGGGACGGGGTTTGTCAGCTAATGAGACTCAAAATAGTTTGCTCATATTTCCCGTGATTAGAGTTTAAAGCTGTTCTGATACCCATAACACTAGTTTGGTGTGAAACAAAACAAAAACCTCTGCAACTCAGTCAATCAGTGGTCTGTGTAGGAATCCCCGTCATTATATACCTTGCATGATTCACTTCCACCAGCAAAAGTCTAGACAAGTAGAAAAGAAAGAGCTCCTCCTTTGACAGCACAGGCCTGCTGTTCTTGCTCTTCAGTCAACGCATTGACCCTTCAAAATAAAGGCAAAAGCATCCATGGACTTTTGCACTGCTCCCTCTCTAGGTGAGCATCTGTCTCCTCGACCTCTCCGGGTTACCCTCTGTGCTCGTGTGACCTCATCACTTTCTGTTCTTTCTTTTCATTCAAAGCCTTTCAGTGGGTGGTTATACTCCTTATGTTTAAAGTTGAAATCCGATTAAAGGCTTAATTGGAATCTTGCAATTGCATAAATAAAAAAAATGAAAAGCGATGCATCAAAATAATTTCAGTAAAACATTTCCCAGTGGGGACTTATTGTTATTTTTAATTTATTTTTCATTTACTGTAGAATTGACTACGTTGCAGAGAGAAATAAATGAAGCACATTATACAAACTCTTTACTAACAAAACAAAGCCAAACATAATTCATACTTTCATTTTTTAAAGTTATTAGTCTGTAATTCCTTTTCATGTTCTTTCCTCTGAGTTGACAAGTGAAATAGCCCCCCCTCGCCCCTTTTTCTTTATTCTTGTGCTTTAATGGCATATTGATTTTTACTGTGATCAGCAGAGCAGCAAACTGACCTCTTCAGGGTTGGTATGAGTCCAGTAATATAAGAAGTGTGCCCAGAAGTTTGCTGATGTAACACAGGGCCTGTTTCAGGTGCTTTTTCCATGATCTCATTATCCTGGCTGTACAAAAGGAGAGATAACTATGCTAAACGGTTTCCTTTTGGTGCTCCCTGCATTCCTTCATGAAGTGAAAAGTCTAGGGCTGTCCTAAATACTCACATTTCGCTTAGCAGCTTTGGTAGTAATCAAAAGCAAATATCTCAATCTTTAACAAAACCTGGGGAGCAGGGTGCTAAAGATGATTGATCTGATGCCTTGTTCTTTAAACATAATTTTTATTTTAGGCTAATTATTTTAATTGTTGATTCTAAGCTTACTAAATATCTGAATGTAAGCGTGCTGATACTCTCTACTGTCTGCTGCTGAAGAAAGGAGAACAGACAGTAGGCCAGAAAATAATTTTTCTGCTTCAATACTATTTGTATATGACTTTACTGCATTTCTTTTGACAGTTAAAGAAATATATACTGCTTAAAAGGTGCATTTGTTATTCAAAATCATTCAGTGGTTAGGAACTGATTATTAGGATAAGACTATTTTATTGTTTCCCATAGGATAGATAATAAAATCTTCATAGATTAGGCCACTGTTACATCCAAAAACGCGTAACATCAAAGATAACAAAAAACCCTGAATGGATTACTCCAAATCCCTTCAAATAGCTCTTATTGCTAATGTTGTTACGATAAGAAAAGAAGCCCCTTCTTTCAGTTGAAGGAAGAAGTGTAAGGTATACATCATGGAAGCAATGAAATGACCTGGAAATTTTTATTTTAAAGCTACTGAGACCCAGATTGGGTCAAAAGATTAGTTTTGACTTTAAATACCACTAAATTCATAGCAATTGTGAAATTTAGCCTGAGGTCTTCGTGAGGTTTGATTTAATTACACTGGTTTTCAAAAGCTCTGCTATTATCAGAGAGGTTGGAGTGATATTTTAAGGGCCTGAATGTTGGTGTTTGAATTTTTTTTTTTTTTAATACTAGTCACTGTTCATATATAACTTGTGCCCTTTTTTTCATTAGATTTTGCATAGAGGGAGAAGTTCCAACCACATAATATCATATATTGTTTACAAAGTGAAATATTTCTGTGAATTTAATCCAACAGGAATTTGTAACCATTCCAGTGAAACTGGCTCATCTTTGCCTCAGATGAGTTGATGTGTTGAGAAAGCCTGTCTTTAAATGGGGAGCAAGGCAATGGCCTGGGCCTTTATTATTTGTGGGATTGCAAAAGTTGTTGTTCAATAGTATGTATTAGTTCAGATTAAGTGGCAGTCTGATACCTGCACTGCAATCTTCCTAAAACGCTCAAGAATAACTAGAGTTTATGAGGCTGACCCTTATACAGATATGCATTAGTTTTCTTACAGCCCATGGACCACCTACGTAAATTTAGTAACTGCTAATGTTCCCTTTGTTCTCAGTTTGAATCTGTTTTCCATTTCCTGAATAATAAAAAACATTTAGTCACACAGTTATATTTATTTTCTTTTACATACGACCACACTAGTACATGTGGCTCACTGACTGGGACGGTATCCTGAAAAAATAAGTGCAGTGGACCTGGGTCATCTCCTGAAGGGATTCCAGCATATTGGCTTTGATAGCAATAAAGTCAGGTGTCCGAGGCAGCAGATGAAAGGATGGTTGTCATAAGGTATTAGTACAAGGGGCAGTAGGAGGATTAATGGAATGGATTGTTTCAAATTTAATGTCTGTTAGAGGTTTTGTTTGTATTCAAACCACTTTTGTTATCATATTCCGTATTTCTACTTGAATTTTTCTCGTGTTTTTTAGGGCTACGACTAATTACACTTGATTGAATTTTGGCAGTCATTCATTTAGTGTGTTCCGTGTCAAAAACTAGTTACGTTTTCACAATTCTGCAGAGCAAATGTATGTATTATATTGGCTAATATTGGCTTAGTTGACTGGTGTCGGTCTTTTGGCAAGTAGCATGACATTTAATCAGAGATGGTGAGCAATTTGAATCTGTTGGGTCACATCTATTTTGTGATTCCTAAATCAGACATGTGGAGACCTTGCCCAAAAAGAGCCAGCACCAAGATACATAAGTCAGTCATGTGGAGGTTCAGCTTCAGCTGTGCAGTGACAGGCCTGTTTCTTGTTATTGTAATAAACAGTGTTGTGAAAAAGTCTTTGCTCCATACTGGTTTACTATTATTTTTGTATATATTATGTTTGTCACAATTAAATGTTTTAGATCATCAAACAAATTAAATAAGATAACACAAATGTAAACAAAAGGTCTAATGTCACACTTTTTCACACAGGGCTATATAGGTTTGGATGTTTCTCTCCCTTAATAATAAACACATTCATAATGTAGCATAAGTGTATGCTTTAAAAACTTTTTTGTGGCTTACTAGTTCTTTAAATTGAATCAGCGTCTTCAATGGTCTCATGGGATTAGCATCTCTGCTCATCACGTTGACATTGTGGTTTGAGCCATCATCTTGTGAATGCACATGCATAGTGGAAGTTTTAAAGTTTTTAATTGAGCAGTTCTATATATGCATGTTTTATGTTCCTCTATCCATTGAAATGAAAGTTATGCCTGAGTCTACATTCATATAAATAGAGCCTTCAAAATACCTGACCTTTTATTTGATGCCTGTCAAGTAGAGGTACTTACTTTGAAATATGTGGGGTCAAAACCTCCCAGCAGAAAGGTTTAAGTCTGCCCCACCTGAAACGTTTGGGAAGTCAGTAACTCCAGTTTATCAATAAAACCAGCTTGAGATGCTCCTGTTGTTGAGATCATGGCATTACAATACAGGATTGAAAATGTGGTGTGACCTAATGATAAAGTATGAGTATATGCTTGTGTCTTACTTTCACATAATGCATTTCTTTCTTTGATCGCACTCTCTTCTAATTCATAATTTATTAATACACTTTTTCTCTTGTAGCCTGCAAATTGCTTGGTTGATGGCTTTTCCATTTTACTTCAGGAAGTGTCTCTTGATTCGTGATCTCAGAATGACTCATCATTATCATGGATCCATTTTTTTATTTATTTTTTTATTTTTTTAAATTAGATAAATGGTAAAGTGAACAAGGTGACAATGTTTACAAGACCCCAGCAATGTGGGCTAGTCCCTCTTGTAATTTTAATCCCCTCGCATATAATCCCGCCTCTTCTGCCATTTCCATTCTTTTCATGACCCCTCCCTCTTTTTTTCCGCTCTCTCTCACTGTCCTCTCTCATCCCACTTATTCCACCTTACGGCTGATGGAGCATTAAGCCTGAATGCTGTGGGCAGCCATAGCTTCAGATTCAGAGCGTGCACTTGAGTGAGCCACTGCTGCGCGAGTTCCTCCCCTGGTCTTTCACATTCTTGCTGTTTCTGGATAATCAGAACTGGCCAGTTTCTGTTGTTATTGTGTAGAAGTGGGGGTTCATTGTTCCCCATAACGTTACCCCTTTAACTGTGGATATCTAGAGCATGGTCTTGTGGATGCCCTCTCCAAATTAACCACAGCTTTTTGGTGCTCTAATTTGGAGGACATCGGATGGACATTTTCTGGATTTGGATATTTTTGAATGATTCCACGACGAGACACAGTGGATAAGATGGTGCCCCTACAAAAAAGGGTAATCTGAGTTATGTGTGCAGAGGAGGAGAGGAGGGTTTTGTGTGCATGATGTGGGTGCAGCTATGCGTTCTTATTGTTTTCTGTTTTGTGCCCTGAATGCTGGATGTCTGTAATAATTTTCATCGTGAAGTAAATATTGTTAATTGCTTTAATTGGAACATGGCGTCTCAGAGTGAGCATGTGCTTGGGTGATAACAACAAGCAGTGGATGGGTGTCTGAAAGTTTAGACTTTAGGATTGATGAGGCAGAGTTTAATTTCAGTAAAAATGTGTAAATCTGTTGATTTCATCTTCTGCTGAGTGGCTCGTTGATGAGGAGTGATTGCTCATTGAAACTGACTAACAATGCAGAGTGCACCGCTACCCCTCACCCTCATCCTTCTCACTCCATTGTTTTTGCTTGAGTAGCAGTTAATTGTGTGAAGGCTTGTTCAAAGGTGTGCAAGAAATTTTGATCACCCTCTAGACAACATTTTGTGGCTTCAGTAAAGCTAGAAATATATTTTCCTGAAGTGTTTGAATATTTTGCACTTCTAACAAATAAGCCAGTTTAACACACCTTCTCATAGGCTACACTAAGCCTCTTAAACTTTTCATCACCACAACCACTTCCTGTGTCTAGGGTAAGAAAGCGCACTTTGTGGAGGATGTTCTAAAGTGCCCTGCATGGTTTGCGTTGAGAATTAGAAAGAACTTTTTGCACTGTGCTTAAGAGCAATTATCTGCACTCAGGAAGACTACCGACATGTTAGAAGAGAGGATGGGAGATTGTTGGAGCCGCACTAAGGTTGTCCGTGTCTTCTTTGTTGTTCACCTTTGGAATTATTTTGTAATTCTCTTGGAATTAAGCATACGATTGTTAGTGAAACTTTGCACGTATGTAAATCGATATTCCAGATGAAGGCTTTTCTTTTTTGAAGTGATGAATTTCAAGACGTGACCTCAGCCAACTAAAGGCTCATTTTTTCCTCACAAGTCATGAACGAATCATGAAGAATGAGTTCAGTCTGAACAGCTGTGTTTGGTTATCAGTAGTGAGGATTGCTGCTGCTGCTGCTGCTGCTTGTTTTTACTATGAGCTCTACTTTTTCTCTGTGACAGACCACAATTTGAAATTAAATTAAGAGTAGCAAGGGGAAACTTGCTGGAAAATGACTCGGTGTCAGGAGGAAAGTTGCAGGCTTATTCCAGGAAACACGTCCTTTGAAGAGTTTAAATCACAATTTAGGTTGTTTGAGATCAATTACTGAGAACAAACCAATGCGTGGCCTGTGGGAAGCCAGATGAGCAGTAGTCTACAAACAGAAGTTAAATTTTAATAAACTTAATGATTAGTATGAGCAGTGCTCAACTGCAAAGGTAAAAATGCAAGTGGGCCAGAGTAAGTGAGCAAAAGATCGACAGTAGGTCCCTTGCAGTGCCGTCATTGAACTGATTGAATCGTTTGTAATGCTTAACTTTCTTATTACAATGTAAATGGCATTACAGAGTGCTTTATTTTCCTTCTTGAATGATGTAATCACCATCTTCTTCTTTTCTGCAGGATCAGTTTGACAACTTGGAAAAGCATACACAGTGGGGGATCGAGTTTGTGGAAAAGTACACCAAATTTGTCAAGGAGAGATCAGAAATTGAAACCAACTATGCAAAACAGATTAGGTGAGTATTTAAGTTTACTCAGAATCACATTGTAGGTTGCAGAAGCAGTTGTAATAATGGTGAATGTTTTCCTCTTGATGACATAGATAAAAAAGACACACACAGAAACAGACACTACAGCAGGATTTGACCTACCGAAGTGCCCTTGAGACTGAATCTTAAACACCACATTTTGAAGCTGACCTTGACCTCTGGCTTCCCATAGGAAGAGGAGACTAAATGAACAATCCCATGTGGGAAACCGTGCATTGGAATACAAGTTATCAAGAAATTCTCTTATTTTCACAGCAGTGTTGTTGTTTGCCTGCAAGGAAGCAGAATTACCTTATGTAACTGCAGAACCAAACATGCAAGCGGAAGAGGTTGTCTATTCCCCTCCATCCTTTTTGTCTGTGAAGAGTCTGTCTGCTGCTTTGCACTCTCTCCTGCGTGCTGTCTGATTGTGTTGCTAGCTTCAGTTTCAGGCAAGAGGAAGTCAGGTTGTGGGGGAAGGGGGTGAAGCTTGTGTTTCCATAGAGATTACTAGGTATCAGCATTATCAACCCCAGGTCTGACCCAGATTTTTCCCCCCCTCCAATCACAAGTGTTGGTCCCGCCCCCTCCACTGTGTTTTGCTGCAGTCACTTATTTTTTTCAGGGGAAGTAGTGGGAGTGTATTCGGTCCTGCATTGACAGGATGCGCTTCACAAGACCTCTTGCATCCATGCACAGTGGGAGATACCCCCCAAATCCACAATCCTCCTATTTAAAGAGGCCAGGCAATATGGCTAATGCTTTAAGTATTGACCCCCAACCCCCAGTTTCACAGAATCTAGCCACTACCATTCCAGTATTCACAATGAAGGCCTCTGTAACACGCCCTGTGATCCTGTATGCAGACCTTGCCATGCCTGTTTCTTGATAATTAAGTCAGCTTGAGATAATAGGACTATCTGTCTGTGTTTATATGCATGCATTACCTACATATCTCTGTATTCACTAACTTTTCAGACCTAAATACGGACACATGCAAACAGAGGTGTTTCTTTAATTGGTGCATATAGTTTTCCTAACTATTAATTTTGTTCTGTTCTTTTCTTTCTGCAAATCTGCTAAGTAATAATGTTGAACTTTAAGTATTTAAGGTCCTCTTTTATTGTCTGGATCATTTTAATGGCATGTAAAATACATTGCCTCAGTTAAATAAAATTAGTTAAATTAAAGCACCGCATTAGTAAAATAAGGTGGACCTAAGGTGGGCTTGTATGTAAACAAATATAGATATCCAATAATTCTGTTAGTTACTAGCATCTGTCACTGTGTGTTCCGCTCATCTAGCTATAGTAGGTTTATTGACCTGGAGGCTCTCCAGATGGTCCGAATGTTTTCAGGGCTTACTGTTATCTAGCATACACATATACACACGATATATGTGCATATCGACATGCTTGACAGAAAAGCTAAAATGAGATAGTTAGGACATTAAGACAGAGGTTTTGCGACTCATTGAGTTTTCTATTGTTTTCAACACACTGGTTCTTTGTTGTGGTGCTACTTGGCCATACCTCAGGACTAATTACCCTCTGTAATCAACTTGATTTGTGACATCAGGTATAATCTATTGGGCACACTCATGCTAAAAAAAATGCAGAGCTCTTAAATCTAATAAACTAATGGAACTAATCCTTTGATCTAGTCCTCCTTTCTCCCAGCTGTGTTGCTGGGCAGATTTTTCAGGCTCAGAGGTAACGTCTTTAATCACAGTAGACAACTTGATAAGTCACAACAGGAAATGCACAGGTGTATTTAAAGACATTGCTTAACCTTGTGCAAGTTTATAGTTATGGTTTAACTTGCTGGGTTGCATATGAATCAGTTTTTTAATTTAAAAAAAAATAATTCAAATAATTCTTTGTTCACCCAGATGTTATATCTGGGTGAACAAAGACTCACATTTTATATTCCTCTAGGCCAAAGGATTAAGAGAGAAAATGTTTGTCAGATCAATAAGCCTGCAGAAATGGGCCAATTATGGGGGAGGAATCATCAATAAGTGAGGCCACAGTTTTAACACAGTTGCAACAAATGCTTCGTGAAACATATGAAACACTTTGCTTTTCTAAAGAACTGAATGCCATGTATGACTATAAATCTACTTTACACCATTTCATCACCATACCAACCACACTGCACCAATCCATGAATAATCCTCTTTCCCTGAATTGGTGTAAACATGCACAATGCTTCAGTGTAGTCATTGCAGGGGCAGTGCATTAATGCCCCACCCTCCTCTCCCCTAGAGTCCAGTCTGGAGTAATCCAAATCAAAGTGGGAATAAAATCTTGCTGAAAACACACTGGTAGAGGGAGAAAATGTTATCAACTGCTTCAGAGATTTTGCCTCAGTAACGGTACAGAAAAATATGGAGACATATCCTCTTAAGTTGCCCCAAACCCCATTTAACCATCCTCATTTAAAGCTAGTTGTTACCCTAGTTTCAACACATTTGCTAAATATGTTGCTGAGTTGAGTGGGACACATACAGTCTGACACGTGGCTTCTGGCTGTGAGTGAATGAATGAGTGAGTGGGAGCTAGGGCTATAATTAGAGGTTGGGTGAAAAGGAGAGAGAGATAGGCACATAGATCTGCCTAGCAACAGTGCAAACACCACTGGAAAGTCGTGTGGGGGATGTGGGTATGAGGGAGCTGGATGGAGTTCATGCAGACCCACATTATATCTTTCTTAATACATTTATTATTTATTTCGGCATGAATTAAGCAAGCTCTTGTGCAAGCTGAGGCATTTAGGTCCCATCACTGAACAAACTGCTGGAATCCCAGATCAAACACAGTCACCAATGACTGTAATCAGCTCTTTGCATCAGTTTACATTGACATGGTGTAATAATTTGGACAATAATGCCACCAAAGGTTCATGACATTAGACTGGAAAATTTCACTTTCTCCTTTTCATGTCTTTTCTCTGTATGAGTTAACAAATTTGTGGCTTTTTCATTTTGGTATGTCTTTTTTTTGTTAGTCCACAGCATGGATATGCATTTTTAATTTGACAACAGTTCCTCTAAATTAGACAAAGGATCCTAAAGTGCAAGCACAAAGTGTACTCAAATCTTTCAGAACATTGAGTATGTTATTATGATTTGGTGACAGAGTCCCAGTTGGCTGATAATGAGTCTGGCACAGTGTCTTTATGAAACGAGTGACATGATGTACTGTAGCCTGCAATGCATCACGTTGCTGGGCTGCATGAAAGACAGTGATAAATGCTGCTGTAATGACATTAAAGGTTGTTATTTGTGTTCCACACACAAAACTAACCATGCATCTATAGTTACAACCATGTTTTATTTCATCTTTACACATCCCTGTTCACTATATGTCTCATTTTCCCTCCCCCTCTTGGCCCTGCTCTAGTCACGTACTGCTAACATACAGCCAGAGTCAAAACAAGGGTAATGGCTGCTTTAGAACAGCTTTATTCTGGTGACTGGCTCTGCATGCATGCTCCTTAAGGGCAATGATTTATGACATGAAGAGAGAGACCATAGCAGCAGGAGCAGAAAGCACTCTGCTGGATTGAATGGTGTACTTGAATGATCCTTTGGCAGGTCCATAAGGGCAGTGTCAGGGAAATATAATGGCAGGGGTGCACTACTGGTCTGAAGATAGGGCTCTTTGTAAGAGTTCCAGTAAGGAATATCTGACTGGAATCTTTTTCTTTACAGGAATCTATCAAAGAAATATCAGCCCAAGAAGAACTCCAAAGAAGAAGAAGAGAGCAAGTAAGTTAAATGATGCTGCATACGAGGTAAAAGGAATGCTGTGAAATTTTGAGGTGGAGAGAAGAGCCAGCAATTTTTTAATGAGTAGAAATCACTGGAAACATTTAATAGAAATATATAAAGTCATAAAGCATCATTTAAATGGGGATTTGTTATGTTTTTGCTGTAGTCTTGTATATAATTGGCAGATATGAGAGTGGTATCCTCTCATTATCTCTGTATTTAAAAACATTTAACTATTCCTTTACTTGTTCTCACAGAGGTCGTTTTCTTTCAAAAATGAGCCATGTTTTTGGTAGCCATGTCTTTCCTCTGACTTCATTTCCTGTGGCCCACTAGGTACACCTTCTGTCGAGCCTTCCTAACAACACTGAACGAGTTAAATGATTACGCAGGTCAACACGAAGTTATTTCTGAGAACCTGACATCTCTTATCATCACCGAACTTGCGCGCTACCTACAAGAACTCAAGACTGAGAGAAAATCGGTGAGAGCTTTTGATATCAGATCTTTGGTTATTTTCTTTTTCTCGGTATTTGATTTCTGTTTCTTCTATTCCTCTGTTCCTATGCCATAAAAAACAAACTTTGACTTCAGACAATAGGATATGTTTAAGGAAAACAGACACAATGGGCTTTTTAACAGTGCTTCCCCTTTGCATGTTCTGTTCTCCATGAACCGAGGTCATCCCAGAGTAAATATAGATACACCCAAAGGCTCACCAGAAGAGCAAAACGTGACTGAGTGAGTCCTTTTTATGGAACACAGTCTTCGTCTCTCTGTCATTACACACTTATTCCTTCTTTTAAACCAACTAAATATCGGTACACCACATGCTATTCTTAAACATTTAAATCACTTTTATCATTACCATTATAAAGTGATTAGAAAGAGTGGTGCACTTGCATTGTGTGATGCATAGAAATCAAAGAGTGGTGGAAGAGCAGAAAGCGAGAGAGAGGATAAGACCTAGCCACCTGGGAAAGTGTTCTGAAAATCTTTCATGAGCTCTTTTGTCTTGGAAGTCCTGCTGGGGGAACTGGAGTGGAAACCCAAAACCAGAGTGCTGCTCAAAGGCTCAGTGACCTTTTTTTAGATTGCGTTTTCATTCGCACAGGCACAGACATCAAGGCTCCTACATTTAGTCTAATGCAGGCCATTTACATTTAGTCTATGGACCACATCATTAGTGATCATAATGAATTTTAAGCTAAGTTTTAGATGGAGATGCTACAGAAAAAAACGGGAATTTCCCATATTTGCAAAGAGAAATCACACACCCCCAATTCATTTTTTACTTTGGTTTAGCCTGCTTCATACAGCAAAGATCACATACAGACTTCAGATTTGTCTCTTGTTGTAAAGGTTGATTAGAGAGACTCCTGCTGCTCGCAGGCTGCAGAATGTCACTTTGACCCCACTGTTCCTTCTCATTTCTCTGCACAGTTCCTCTTTTTCTACTCTATTTAATTCTTAAATATATCTGTTTGTCCCTTTTTGACCCTTTCTCATCCTTTTTACCCATTCTTTTCTTTAGTCATGTGTCTTGACTAAAGAAGCCTAAAGCAGTATATCTTCAGTTAGCTAGTACTGGGGGTTCCCCTTCATAGCATAGCCATAAAACAAGTTTTATGGCTATGCTATATCCCCTGTCCAGATCAGATAGTTTGTTCTGTACAGAGGATCATTTCATCTAAATTCATTGGGTTTCTCATGTTTTGTACAGTGTCCTTGTGGAGTAAATTTAACCTGTTAAGCTTTCAGTCATTTAAATGATTTTGCATTGAGATTCAAAAGCACATTCATACAACTCCTGAGTACTGGGGTGTGACTTTGGCTTATTTTAAGTGTTGAAAAGCCTGCTGACAAAGCAAATTTCCAGCTATAGAAAAACATAGCACTACCAGAGAAAGTGATATATTGGGTGTTGTTTGTAAAGCCCCCAGCTTCCTATCATCCACTTTTCCCCCCTTATTTCTAAGCACTACTCAGTGTCCCCTCTGCAGCATTTTGTTTGTGTTAGACAAAGCCGTGTAGGCAGACCCAGACAGTGGGATTAGAGGCTGAAGCTGGCCCCTCCAGGGTTTATAGGAAGCTTATTGCGCAGGTAAAAGCCACATTACAAACCCGGAAATGAAAAAAAAAAACCTCATTAAGTTCTCATATGGACTTGTTTTGTAACTTTCTACACTTCCCCTTTGCTGTCTTCTTGAGTGAATCGCTTGCTAAACTCAGCTCGGGGTGGCATAAGAGGTGGCCAGCAGTGTTCTCCTAAAAGGTTTAACATAGCAAATCTAGGTGTTTTTACAAAGGTAGAATCACATTTTATATGCTGGACTAAAGCTGTTGTAAGCACAGTAAGAAATATTTTAAATATTTCACAGTTGTGACAACATACTTTCTTGTTTTTGCATTGCTTAATGTCTTAAAGTGTAATATGAAATGTTGAAGAGGGGGCAGGGTTAATATGGGATGAAGGCTCTTTAAGTCTCACTGGACTGTTTGTGCTGAGGAATCATAATAAGGTGTTCAGTCAGCATACTGCTGTCCTTACCGGGTCTCTGACCACAAGGCTTAACTGGCCTCTCTAATGAAGACTGCCGAAGACCCTTAGACTGTGCAAGACTTCCTATAACTCATCATAGGTTCCCTTTTTTATATAAGTATGTGACATATTCAGCCAGGTAGAAAATTTAAAAAAAGAAAGACACTAGCTCATTTAGCTGCAAAGACCAGAAAAAAATGCATTGCATTTAGTGGAAAAGCAATAGATACTAGGTGCTTTTGTGCCAGAAAATATCATCCTTGTTGTTCTCGTTGAGGCAGGCAAGAAAGAGAAACCATGGTAAAAACAGTGCATCACTCTGGGCTGTCCTCAAATGCCTTCTTGTGTTGAGTGGAAAAGCAAATAGGAAGGTGAGAGGGAGAATTGATCGTTGGATCTTCCAGTAGTCTCTGCATGCATATATCAATCCAGAATGACTTCAGTATAAACAAACGCTGCAGTACCACTAGGTTTGAACTGTTGCCTAATGGATTCGACATGAGGAGAAACGTCCCAGTGGAGCTTTCATAGGGTTTAATCATCTCTGTCGTCTCTAGAAGTCCACACAACCTGTGGCTATTTCCAGTACCTAATGATTATATGCATGCTGACAGCTGTATGAGGCTGCAGGTTCACATTCCTATGACCCAAGTCAAGTCAATGAATGAGTAATATATCAGTTAACTGCTGCATATGCACAGATGTGCACGTGCACATCTTGACTCAAGTGAGCTTAAAGATGCACATGCTAAGCAGTAAAGAGGTTTTCTCTTTTACGTGTCAGAGAATACAGATTTTTACAGTGGATAAGGCAGCTTGTGAGTGCACATCACACTCAGCTCAGCCTGGAAAAGGATGCCAGTAAAAAGAGGCATGTAAGGATCATGGTTGTGAAAACCCAAATCTCTGTCCTTAGATGCCTCGTATCTTTGTCATGTGCTATGGTACCTGGATGGTATTAGAGAGTCTGTGTCGCAGCATGAGGAATTCCTTTATTTATGAAGGATGTGTCACAGTCATGAAAAAGCATGCCTACTTTCCATTATTAAGTGAATATTCAACTTTGATCTTTGATTTCATATTATTATTATCTAATCCCACTTTTATTAAACTTTAACCTCCTAAGACCCGAACTCTTTCATGTCATGCATTTTTAATTTCTCTTTGCTATTTGGGCTGATTGGGACCTGATGAATGTAAAAACCAAGAATTACCAGATTTTATTTTAATTTTTACCAGATTTTTGTTACTGAAAGAAATGAGATCCACATATGAGGACGTTTATTTTAAAATTTTATAGAACAGTGGCAGTATACTGTCCTCGTAAGTGAATATCAGGCCCTTGTAGAGCAAAATTTAGTATTTTGGTCTAGACAACCAAAAATGTGATGTTCACATATGTGGACTCCAGGTCCTAGGAGGTTAAATATGAATGCAGCAAAAGGATGAATTCTGGGTCAAGAATTTTTTAGGCCTTTTTCTCTCACTTGTTCTGGTAATGGAAATGGCTTGAGGTCACTGAACTGCTCTCAAATGTCACTGCAGTCACATGCTCTTATTGATTAGCATGAATGGAAAAAAGATGACATGCTCATTGAGTTCTGAATGGGCTACGAGGGATATTTGTATCACCAGGGTCTGTTAATTTAAACACTGAGAAACCAGTACGGCAGAGCATCTGCTCTGATCGCTGTATATGTGCCGTCCCAGGTGGCTGATGGCTCTTTTTATTGTGTTTGAAAGTAAAACTGCCTCATTTGTCCCTGTAGTCAGTAAATCTTCATCCTCCAGCAGATCTTGTAAACCTGATGGAGCTGTTTATCGCAGTTTGTTTATCTCCATAGATATTTGTTTTTTTTTTAAAACTAGATGATGTGCAGATTTCTTTTTTATAAATATGGTTATAGAGGTAAATATTTGGTTGAACGAATTCTCCATAGTAACAGTGATGTCATACGGTCTGTGAGCTTGTGTTGTGTGGAGAGGCTTCACATTCACTTATCAATTACCAAGAATTACTTTCAGAGTACATCATTGAAAAGTTGGCGTTATTAAACAGTCACCTGCAGGTCCTGGTTAGCAGATTTATTTATTTTTTTTGGCTAGTTAAATGTTGCATTGTTGGGAGCTGACTTTAGCAGTTCCACAGTGTCCTGTTTTTTCTTTTTGTAACGCTCAAATACTTCCTCTGAAACACTGGAACACTTCCTTATTTTACTCAGCTTCCCTCGAAACTTTGGGAAATGGGAAGTGTGAATGCCTGAGGTACACCAGGTTGCATTCTCACTTACTACTCTCATGTCATTCAAGTAAGATGAACTTTTAAGCCTCCTGCATCATTTGTAATTTCACATCTCTTGCTTATTTAATCAGAATACCAACTTCCTTGTGCTTCCCAAGCACTGAAATACCAGCAGCGTACAAACAGCAGCTTTCTGTTCTTTACAATAGCCTGGGTCCGTTATTGAATAGCAGCATCGAAATTCAACTCAGCTACTGGTCCCAGCTTCCGCAGTCTGCGTTACTATGGGATACCGCATTAATAGTCAGGTCCCTGTGCCATTTTCATTTTCATTTGATTCTTTTTGAAGTCCTGTGCAGATTAATCTTTCTGTCAGCAGTTAAAGAAGTATTTGCATGCTTTATAGCTAATCGCAATCTATTAAAAAAGAAAAAGTTTAGATTGTACCCGTGTGTTTGCAGTTCCAGGGGATTTGGCTGTGATCCACACAGAGAGCTGTAGAGGGATGTGCTCTGTCGTCGGGCCAAGTGCACGTTAGTAGGCTAAGCGAGGCCATGTACAAAAAGCACAGCGTATTTGCCGTACAAGTTTAGACTAGCAGCTGCCACCTAGTCCTCTCCAATATGCTACAGTTGACATTGCCAAAATCCTTCATTGTGTGTTTGCCTCTAAATAGTTTCTATCATTTAATTCATGCCTTGTTCTCTGTAAATTTCTATTTTATGTTGCTTCAGCTGCTATTATAGAACTTCATCAGTTAGCCTTTATCTGTTTCTTATTCTGCCCACTTTGCTCTGGCTGTTACTATCATGTTTATTAATACAGTTTTTTTTTGGGAAAGTACAAACTTTACCTGGTAATGGCTCTAAAACAGTTAGGGGAATACCAACATGATTACTGCTTAGTCAGACATCAGAGCTGTCACACAGAGAAAAGGGGGATCATCAGACTAATCATTAATATTGTTTGTAGGTCACAGTATTGCAGTGTTTGACCAACAGAATTTCCCTCATCCAACAGTAGATTCATGCTTTTAGTAGTTTCTTTCAACACGCTTTCTAATAAGCTGTTTATAACTTCTTGGTCTTATGGATATATTTTTTTAACTATTTCTGGTAAGAAAAAAGTAGGATTTAGTAAGTTTTATCAAATAATATGCATTCTGTATTTGCATGACCCTCAACAGAGAGCAGAGAGGACTGCTTTTTAAAAACAGAAACCTTTGGTGCACAGCTCTGCTATGAGCATGGTGCTTTGTGAAGACAACTCTGTGTACAGTATCTTTGACTGGTTTTAATGATTTTACTGTTAACCTGTTTTTGTCACTGTTACACACTTTCTCTGGAGCTGTGTTGGTACCCCTGTGGTGAGCCTGTGGTTAATCTTTCATCAAACAGACTTTTAGCCTCCTGCTCAAGCTTGAATATATCTCTGAGCACTAAGCTCGTGGGTTCTATGGTCGTAATTTTTAGAGTATGTACAATACAGTGTCTATTTGAATTTGCACAGTTGACACTAATACTTCACTGTCACAGTGTAGGAACTATTCATAGTGGTTAATGATTACCTCATCTAATTTGTAAACCCTACTATATCAAAGACATGTTCATCTGATTTTAAATCCCTTGAGCTCATAAATAATATGAGAGAAATTAACAATTCTGTACTTTTTCTGTTTTCTCTTGCAGCACTTCCATGATGGGCGTAAGGCACAGCAGCACATTGAAAGCTCGTGGAAACAGCTGGAAGCGGTAAGTGAACCTATTTACGTGCAGTTCCACAGTTGTGCACTAGTTGCAACAAATACATACTGAGCTTGCATCATTTGCAACTATAACATTATGAAATTATAAATGACTAAAATAAACCACTTTTTCTGGATCGCTTGTCAGTTTCTCTTGGCTTGGGAGCCAGAGGCACTTCAGATTTTCGTGGCAGCCTAACCCAACCTAGAAATGAGTGTAATACAAGGTGAAAAAAACAAACAAACAAAAGCAATACTTCTTTGAACAAACAAATATCTGTTTCTTTATGAAGGATTTGCTCCAGGCATTTTAGATCATTCGAGTTATTTCCCAGGTGAAGAGTTGCTACCAGTCAGCAGTAATAAAGTAAAATATATAAAGCACATCATTATCAAAAACTGCCAGACATGAGGTGTTAGTGGGAAAAATGTAAATCAGCAGAGGTCCTTGTACAGAAAAACCTCCTGTTATGTCCTAAAATCTCAGTGTACATTTTCTTTTACATGCAGTGAGGGGGACAGAAGTCACACACTGTAAATAATAATAATGACATCAGATGAATTGATTGATACACACACTGCCTGAGGTGCACCTAGTACTGAAGACTGAAACACTGAAGTATAATGTAAATATCAGCTGCTGGCAAGATTTTAAGTACATTGTTTCTCGTGCTGAAAAAGTGCAGGTCCAGGATTTCTGTTTGTATTTGTAGTAAAGAAGCTCGAAGAGAAATTGCACAGAACACTACTTCTTATCTCTGGCTGGCCCCTTTGACGGGGGAGAGAAAGCGTGTGAGAGAGATGCCTTGTCCTTCTCAAACTTCTCTGTGCACTCAATGGATACCATTGTATGTGAGGCAGATAGGCATAGTTCAGAGTGCACACTAGCCCAACAAACACTGATTGTTCAGTTAGAGGGGTCGAAAGAGGGTTGGATGAATGCTTGTTTTTCTGTACACAAATGACCACTATGAACATTTGTTTAATCTGCAGACTGCAGACTTTAACAAACCCTGTTCCTGTGTCAGTTGACATAAACTGACCTCTGCTGCACACAACGCCAGGCCTTAAATGTATTTGACGTACACGTACACATTATGACGTCCATTACTGTGCTTATTTAAAAGTCAAGTAATATAGCGTTCTGCTATAGCTCGTGGCAGGAATTGACTGATGTAATGTGTGTGATCTCATTAAATCATTAAACCCTCTTATTTCAGAGTAAAAAACGGTTTGAGAGGGAGTGTAAAGAGGCAGAAAGAGCACAGCAGTACTTTGAGAAGATGGATGCTGACATTAACGTGACTAAGGCTGACGTGGAAAAGGTATGTGTTGTGTCACCTCATATCCAATGAGCTTGCCCTGTACCCTTCATGCTTAACACGACTGCCTGGGCTTCTCACCCTCCCACCTAGCAACCTTTTTGTCACGATTTTCTTTTCCACGTATTCCCCCTTTTATGCCCCGATCCTGAGTCCTCGTTCCAATGAGCCTAAAAGACAGCAAAGACTGACTGATGACGTTCTTGATGCCAGGAACTGTGCGAAGAAGCTGGCATTGTCCCAGCAGCACAGTGATCTGCTGCTAAACAAAGCTGATAGCAGCAACAAGTCTGGATTATCTATGTAGAACAGCCACCAAACATCTTTGTTTAGTATAAAAAGGTTTGGTTCTCTTATGTGTCTTTCGGTTTATACATGTAGGTTTGTTTTTACTTTTTGACTGTGAAAAACTAAATAAGTAGTGTGCTGTTTTAGAGATTATATGTTCTGTTCAATAAATCATCACAAGGAGCAATCATCCGATTCTCAGAACTTGCAGCCCACAGTCTCCTGGGCCCGTAGCTGATGTCATTTCCTGTTGTCATGACCAATTAAAAGAGCCCTCAAAATCTCAGACCCACACAGCTCCCACGCCCGCAAGGCATCATGGGTCAGCAGCACATGTTCCTGCTGCTCATCAGCTGTTGGAGCAGAGCTGAGGCTCACAGTTGACACAGTTCAGACCTGATTATTATGCAAATATAGGCTGGAATAAAGAGCCTTTCTACACTCTGGACATGCAGCCAGAGAACTACAGTCATCTTAAGAGAGCACTGAACTCAGCTGGAAAGACAGCAGCTCAAGAATCTATTGTTGAAGCAGGAGTTGCTTCAACAATTCATATCAGAGTTATGTTTATTATCACACAACATTCATAAATTGCACATGATATCAGCAAATGAAACGATCATTTGATTTTCACTTTATTTGAGTTCAGCCTGTTTGTAAAGTGGGGACATAAACTGTGTCATAGTATGCCAGATTCTTCACAAAATAGTCTTAATCTTACATTATAGGTACATATGCATGCAATGTTCATGAACAGTGTATGAACCGTAGTTAACTTGACAAGCCCATTAAAACCACTGATATTGCCCTTTTATTTAAATACATCTCTCACATTACATATCATTTAATTGTGCTTTAGTCCTCTCCTAGTCCTTCTCCTTTGGATCATTTGGGTGAACTTGGCTTGCTTTTTTACTTACTCATCTTTCAGGAAAACCTGAAAGATGATCTTGTCAGCGTCTTTCTATAACAGGTACTTTTCTTCCAAAAAGTACAAAAAAGCAGAGCTTAGTGTTCTTATTAAGATATAGAGTATAGCCACTTAGACACTTGCGTTATTACATTTGCTGCAAAATACATGCACAGTTTAAAAGGTACCCAGATGAAATGTCACAACCACAGCTAAGTTTGCATTTTAGTCATAGTGAAAAATGTTGCTCCATGAGGAGGTTTGGGGTGAACAGATAGGTGGTGGCATGGTGGTAGGAAAAGCAGAGAAAGAGTCATGTATATTTTGACCTGTCCAAATCAGTATTTTCCAGCTAAGTTGGCTAAATATTTAACAGAGATGTATTTTGAAAGTTCACTTCAACTAGATGCTTTTGTCGGTCATGCAGTGCCCTTAATGCAAAAGAGCTGCTGTTTGTCGAGCTGGAGTTTTGTGGTTTTAAGCACAGCTGGAGCAAACCTCTAAGTGTTCTCTCTCCACCTCTGGCAAACAAATCCCTTAATTAGGGGTTTGGATTTGCAGCCCAGATATCCACAAACACAGTTACGGTTCTTTGAGGGACCCCCGGCCCTCACACACACTGACAGACTTCCCTGTTGTGGATTCTCCGTCATAAAGTATAGGGACACAACATATTGCCTTCCTCTCAACTGTTCAGCCTCTACCAGTAGCGGAGAACAGCAGCTTAAAATCCCACTACTTTAGTGGTGATCGTGTTTGTTTATTCTGATACCAACTTCCTTTTTTAGCGATGATTCTCGAGGTGGTGCAGGAAGTGCATCTATAGCAACTTCTTGTTTAGCTAGAAACAGCTAATAATTCTTTTGTGTGTATGTGTGTGTTTGTAAATTTATTTTATGCCATGCCTTGAAGCGAAGTTTCCATAAGGTAGGTCCAGCGAGCAGAGAACCCGTATCTGTCGGAACACACACTGTCTCGACTTGTGTCTCGATATACACACGGTCTCCTATAGAGTCTGACACATAGCCTCAACCAGGTCTGTTACCACGCCCTGTCCTGTCTGACTGTGGCTTATCGCGCTGTCTGCTGCTGTACACTTTCCCACTCTTGATTTTTATGTGTAAGAAATATGAGAGAAAGGTTGATTATGCTAAGTCAAACCTTTATAAACATTCATGCAGTTTGTGTTCCACATCCTCATTATTTCATCAAACTCTTCTTTAAAATCCACATTTGACAGCTAGATAAATAACTTGAAATGTGTAAATATGTATTTATACCCATTAGTGACAGCTAGCAAAACAGGTAATTTCCAGAAAATGACAACAGGATGTGATGTGGCTGCAGGCACAGCAACTCGTTTTGAAGCACTGGCAAAGTTACCATGGTGATAGCGCGTACCCTCATTATTTCTAAACACATTCAGTACACTTTGCATGCACCTACACTTGCAAAGCACATACGCTAAATGCATGCTCACATGCTGGCGTTTAGAATTTAAACAGCTGGACTTCTCCATGTGCTTTTTAGCTTTTCTCTAGATTTCACGTTCCTTGTCTTTCGTAGGCTGTGTGACTCACAGCCAATCATTTTCCACTGAGGTATCATTTGTCATCCCTCATGTGCTGGAAATAATGTACCTTTGTATCTGACGTGTGTCTCGATGTACTGTGTGTGTGTGTGTGTGTGTGTGTGTGTGTGTGTGTGTGTGTGTGTGTGTGTGTGTGTGTGTGTGTGTGTGTGTGTGTGTGTGTGTGTGTGTGTGTGTGTGAGTAAATGAGTCAGTGAGTTAGAGATACTCTGCTCTTGCTCTTAGTTCGGTGTGTAGGTGAAAACTGGATGAGGTCCTTTAAATGTTTCCTCTTCACTATGAGAGATCAGGGTTATGTTTCCTTGGCTGGCTCATACAGTTATACAGCTGCTCTTTTTTCTGTGTAGCCTTCAGCAGATTAAATGCTGATCACAATCACAGGTTCATGAGGTAACTCTTTGTTACAGATGACCCATTGAAATCAGTATTTATGTGAGGACGGCCTTAGGTCTGATGGAAAGAGGAAACAGATAGGAGTACTTAGCTGCACGCAACACTAACGCACATACACACAACCCGCACAGGCTGTCTAGCTGAGATAATCTCATCTCCATCTGCTTAGATTCGTAATAGGCCTCTCCTGCAGCATTTCTGACTGCCTTCCTTCCTTCCCTTAGACTAGCTTAAAATAATCAACATTATCGACAGCAGAGGCAGGCCAGACGGGGCGGACAGAGAAAATCCAAATCCCTCCATTCTGCAGCCTGTGCAGGCTGTTGTCGTCTTCTTTATTTGTTTGTTCTGCCCTACATATAATCTAATGCCAAAGGCTGTTGCTGCTTCACAACTCTGAATTGCACCTTTAGATATGCATTCACAAGCTCTCTGTGAATATGTGTGTACATATGCATGAGTGCTCATATACACAAATAGTTGACTCATTTAGGTTTTTATGCTCTGGCTGTGTCTGTGGTCTGTTTTCATCAGGGGACACGAGGTTAGTGAAGAGAATGTGGTTGTGATATATGTGCTTGTGTGTGTGTTTTTTCTTCAGGCACGACAGCAAGCTCAGATGAGGCACCAGATGGCTAGTGACAGTAAGAGCGAATACGCCGCCTACCTGGAGAAGTTCAACAAGGAACAGAATGAACATTACTATACAATTATTCCCAACATATTCCAGGTACATACAACAGCTCTGCAGTGTATGATTTACCTCAGCCGATTTGTCATAAAGCTGGTTTTGGTTCATCAGTGTCACCATTAAATAGAAATTATTTACTCTTCCCACGTGAGAATATTAACACCTCCAAAATTATTGCATTTTTTTCTGTTTTTTCTGTTTTTTCTCACGTAACCAATGATTGCACAGTAATGCACTTTTATCTTGTGAATTCAAAGCTGTTTGCAACTTGCTACACTCAACCCCCCCTGCAGGTCTGTTGCTAAAATTACATTTTTGTCATGCAGGAAACACTGACAGAAGCAAGCAGTCCTTATTTTAAGTGCAGTTATTTTTGTCTTATCTTCATCTTACAGTTACAAAGTTTGTGACTTTGAATTCACTGTTTTGTAAAGTTCATGATTTTTGAGCGCTCCCATTTCCAGTGTTGTTTGGTCTGACCATCAAAGACAGCATCAAAAGACAGCACTTTGAGATAGATTAAAGGGTTTTTGATTTTTTTCCAGTCAAACTCTACCCACACTTTTGTTTATGTATAAATATGCTTGTATCGAACTGTAGAAACTTCAAGACATGGAGGAGAAAAGAATTGAGAGGATATCAGTGTGCATGAAGACATTTGCAGACGTGGATCGCCAGGTGCTGCCCATTGTGGGAAAATGTTTAGATGGCATGACAAATGCTGCCGAGTCCATTGAGCCCAAGGCTGTGAGTATCTGTCTATTTATCCATTTAGTCAATTATTTCCTTGTGGTAACAATACTAATTGGCAATAAATCCTATAACCTTGAAAAGCCTGTGTATTTCCCCTTAAATGGTGCCACAATAGTAAGGAAAATGCATTTGTGGGTTGAGTATCGGAGAATGTGGGTTTTGCTAATGAAAAACTTGGAAGATCTTTTGGATGACTGAAGTCTAAAGAAACAAAACATACTGGCAATTAAACAATTTCTTCATTTAACAAACAGGGCCTCGGTAGCATGTGGAAGAAGCATATACAGCATATACAGCTGCTCTACAGCCTCTCTCTGTATATATTATAATATCTGGGTGGTCTTTATCCTTCAAACTTGGGTCCAGCTTGGGGGTTACTGCTCCATTACCATGGAGACCACTCTTACCTTCATCCTGCACATCTTCTCTAGCTCCTCTCTCAGCCTTTGTTACTTCTTGAGCTTGCTGTGTTCCTTCTTCCAGATGTTGCTATCACTCGGTATAGCTGTATCTGTCACTACAGTCGTCCTCTCTGCTTGTCCACCACTGCTATGTCCAGTTGGTTAGCCATCACCAGTTTGTCTGTCTGTATCTGGAAGTCCCACAGAGTTTTAGCGTACTCTGGGGGCCTGGGGGGGGGTTATCCCATTTTCATCTTGAGACTTCCAGGCTATACTCAGCAGAGATGTTCCTGTATACTATGCCAGAAAATTGGTTATGGCATTCCATATACGCCCTGCCTGTTAGCATCTTGAACCCCTACTATTATATGTTGGATTGTCTCAGGAGCACCTCTGCACAGTCTGCACCTAGTGTCTTGCCAGCTATATATGTATACTATATACATGTACCTCTTAACCAGGTCTTGGTTAACCCATCACTGTATGGGGGTTATTACTCAATCAGCCAGTCTATCACTGACAACCCACACAATCCCAATTATGCTTTCACTTAAACAACAAGTAGTTGAAGTCTTGGGGGACTTGTTAAAAGGTGAAAACACCTCGCCTCTCCAAACAAAGTGGGAGGACCTTGTCGTAAATAGAAAAGCTGTACAAGCTTATTCAATTACTATAGTCCCCTCTTACAGTAAGGAAAATTAGTGACATACATTTCTTTAGCTTGTATGTCACTAATTCTTTAGCTTTCTGTGTTAAAAATACTCCTCCTTAAAGGGGTATTACGCTGATATTAGACAGAAAATTCCATTAATCCCTCAACAGATGTACTTCACACCTGGTGAAAGCAATTGTGTAATATGTGTGGTTTTGGAAGGAAACTTATAAAGACTGAAATAGTAAGAGTGATTGTGTCATTAGGATTATATCCATTTTGGCTGTAGGATTACCATTTCTGACAGAGCTGCACACTGGGGATGTGAAATCTGAAAGACACGTATATTTAGGAGCATTTATCAAGTGAAGGCGTTTTTGAGAATATATTACGAAAAGTCACAGAGAATTAGGCATTTAGTGCTTCCTTTTTGGCTACTCTTTTTTATTCAAATATGTTTAAAGTGGATCTGAATAAAATGCAAACTTCAACACCGTTATTTTTTACCTTAAAGATGATGAATGCCGGTTAACAGACATGGTTTTTAGTTGAACAGAGTAACACAGAGTTAGGTAGCCTAACTCTGGTAAATGGTAACAAAGGCTAGCTATGAGTAGCTGTAAAGCGCACACATTAATGTGTTAAATCTTGCCCCGTTTCTAGTCTTTATGCTAAGTTTAGAAAGCTGGCCAGCTGCTGCGGCTTCATATTTCATAGGCAGATGTGAGAGGTTTATCAGTCTTGTCATTTATCTCTCCTGGAAAGAGAAAAAAGTCAGTTTCTAATATGTCAGACAATTCCTTAAAGAAAACGTAAACCAAGGATTAAGGTTGTGTCTCATTGCTTATAGTTATTTATTATTTAAATAGGTAAAAGGAGAGCAGCATTTGCCTGTGTTTAAAAGTGTGATATATTGAGCTGTCACATGTTGGCTGCCTGCTGTATGACAAAAAAACCCGAAACCATCCGCAGGGATCACATAGTTTGTGTATGTGTAGCTGTGTATGTGTGTGTCCTTGGCTAGGCTCCAGGAAGATGATTCTGTGCTGGAGTAAACAACGGCAGGGAATAACACATCACATGCTACTTTTCCTCTGGCAGATACTCTTCCTCTTTTCTTCTTCTCTCACATATGGAGGACACAAGAGCAGATCTCTGACCCCCTGATCCTAACTCCAACCAGACCCTTTGCTATTATCAGTTCAGAAAGGCTGGTGTGCACTGCAACTGATGAATGTGCGTCTTCCTGTGTCTGAGAAGCCTGGCTGTATCCCCGACCTCAGTGTTTGCTCATAACTCCTGCCTGACAGATTTAGGCCTTTTCCTCTTTCTTCTGTAGGCCACAAACTGAGTAATTCCAGCTTCTCTTCTTTCTTGACACACTCTTGAATTGTTATCAGAGAGAAAGTGATATAAACAACTGAGTCACCGGGCCACATTTGTGTTGCGTATAATCACCAGACCTATGATGCTCGAGACATTCTCAAACAACAAAGACCCTCCCTTTAGTTATTGTTTGGTATCTGAAAAGCTACTTTGAAAAAGTCGACGCAATTAAAGAGGTTCCAGGATTAAGGGTTCTGCTAACTGCTGCAACTGTTGTCTCTCACTAGGACTCTAAGCAGGTGGTGGAGTCCTTCAAGTCTGGTTTCGAGCCCCCAGGAGATGTAGAGTTTGAGGACTATGGCCAGGCCATGAAGAGGACAGTATCTGAAACCAGCCTGTCCAACACCAAAGAGAGCAAAGAGAAGCCTGGTGTCAAGGCCAAAAGCAAACTGTGGCCTTTCATTAAGAACAAGAACAAGGTAACAATGAATGAACACCTTACTCAAAAATCACTGCTATACCCGAACGTATTGCAAAACATCACTAGTTGTGGTGCAGTTTCCTCGCCTGGAGCTCACTTTGCACTTTCAGGAGATTTATATGGGCTGGGGTGGAGGGATATTACAGGTCCCATTATGTTTGTTCTTATGACTTTTTATTTAGTGGCTGTAGAAATATATGTGTTCAGTGTTTGTAGTGTGTGTTACAGTCTTGGTGTTGATTCTGTATTAAATTTATATATTTTTAATAGATTTTTTTGACTTTTGTTCACTATGTTAACTTCAGAAATTTATTGCTAGTTCTCTGTTATTATTGCCATTTTTGTTGTTATTATTTGCCACCCGTTTCCTCCCCTGGCAATCACCCTCACCGATTTTGGAGCCTCCCTTTCATAACACACACTAATATATTTCTACTTTTCACTCTATGAACGGACTCAAGTGGCAGATATTAACTTCCTCTTGGATCTGATGTAACAGTCTTCCCTCAGTACTTTTCCACTGACTGATCATCCTTGAGTAGCTTCCTTTAGCTTCCTGTGTCTAAACATCAAGACTGATCTCTGGCTGTCTTATGGGCTGGTGGCACTGTTGGTATTGAATTAGAACAGAGTGTGATTGAGCAATCGTTTGTGAGTGTGTGCGCGTGTGTGTGTGTGCACGTCTGTGTGGGTGAGGGAGAAAGCGAGTTTGTGCAATGCTACATGAGAAACCCTGGTGTGCAGAAAATGGTGCAACCTCCCAAAATTAAGGCAAACTTGTAAAGGCAGAATTTGGGAGCATAGTGTACAGAGAGGTATTTACACTGTACATGCACACAAGGACACATGCATGCCAACAGAAACACAAAAACAATATTGGTTTACAGAATAAAAAAAAAGATTTCTTAATCGCGCACCAGTGCATGTGCAATGTGCATCATGTGGTATCCTAAAACTCATCACTGCTTCACTCTCTCTCCTTAACTGCTGGTTGATGAATTATGCAGTCAGATGTTTTAGAGCCGCAATAAGCAATTAGATTAGGCTGATGATGGCCTCAAATTCAGCAGCTGTTATCCTCGGGGATGTGGTGAATTACTCGTCTTAGCTGGCATGTTGACGAGGTTGGGAAAGTAAAAAAACAAAACTCAAACGGAGGTTTCTAAAATGGAAGCCGGCATGCGCTTTGAAACTCTTCGCTGTTTGCTTTGTGCATCTGCTTGCTTTAACACGTTTGTGCGCTTTCTACTCACTCTGGTCATTTTGTTCTTTTTAATTCTTTAATTTTTTTATGTTTTATGTGTTGAACAGTTTATTTTTTCCCACAACATAACTGCTACTCTGGGTTTGACATCCCTTTGGTTGTCTTTTATGTTCCTTTGGGTTTTCTGTTGCGTGTGTTTATTTTTTAATATTTGTAGGAGGCTTATTTATTTTGTTTTGTGTTCCCTCCTCCTTTTCCTCCTTTGTCTTTTTTCGTTGGATTCTTCTTCTTCTTCTTCTTCTTCCACGTTTTTCCTCTTCCTCTCCGTCACGGCTCCCTCTCTTATTGGTAGCTTATGTCCCTGTTAACGTCCCCCCACCAGCCCCCACCTGCCCCCCCAGCCTCATCCCCACCCTCACCCTCTGCTGTTCCCAACGACCCCCAGTCTCCCAAGCAGCACAAGGAGCCCCTCTCCCACCGCCTCAACGACTTCATGGCCTCCAAACCCAAAATGCACTGCCTCCGGAGCCTGAGGCGAGGGGTAAGTGTGTGTGTGTCCAAGCCAGCTTTGTGCCTGTGTTTGTGTGTCTGTACACCTGTACCTGAGCTGTGTGGCTGCTACACTGTATGAGTGAATAATCCAAAGACGTGCTGAGCTTTCTTGGATGGTCATGATGGCTACAGCATCATTATTACTTCTGTTGCCAGTAACCAATCAAGTGTAAGCAACGCGACCTCCAACAAGTGTCCCACCTTCACTCATACAGTGCTCAGCTTTTGTGCTTCTCTAGCATGCTTCTGTAGAGCATTACCATTACCTATTGACTCCATGGTATGTGTCCTACTCACCAACAGCCTCTTCATCTTGTCCCTTCATTCTTCAGATTAACTGTGCTCACAATGACAGTCCCTCTCTACCACCTTCCCCTTCTGACAGAAACTAAGGAGCCTAAGCAGTGTTGGCAGTAGCATGAAGACTGCACTTGCTCCCTGTGCTCTTCTCTGCAGTCTATGCTGGAGGCAGATTGTTTTGGGTTTTGCACGTGCTAGGAACCAAGAAGAAGGTTAAACCTTCAAGTATGAATCAAGCGATTGGTATGGTGGGAGAGTAAGTTTAGACAACTTCCTGAGGGATGGTTTTATCAGCACCTCTCCAGTGCCCTTGTGTGTGTCATCACAATTTCTGCTCTAAAGTCCAGTGCGTGTTTTGTAGAGATACAGGCGACAGTTGCTGGGGAAGGTCACAGCATGCTTTCCTGTCCTTTCTTACTTCACTCTCCAGTTGTCCGTGACCTCAGGAATGGGCTGTAACTCCCAATGTTCCTTCCGGACTCCACAAATATCGTTTTTTTGTTTATGCTCATAATTTGAAATGGGAGCAGTTCAGAGTAAAAACATTGGTTTGAATTGGTGCTAACATGACGTCTGAAAAGGCAAAAGAACAATGTGTTGCAGTAGTGCAGTGTGTGAGTATCGAAGAGGAAATGATTCAAATGAGGCAGTGCAGAGGGAAGTGCGTATTTTTTTCGAGCAGGTCTATCAGGAAGTGCATGTTTCTAAAAGCGGATGTGTTGCAACAGCTCATGAGAAGACTGATAAAAAGAGTTAAATCAGATGCATTGTTTTCAACTATGCACAGATTAAACTGAAGTTTGACCTTATTCTAACATTTCATGGTATAAGAAAGGCTGAATAAAGGTTTAAAGGTTAAAAGCTTTATCAGACCGGAAAGCCTTGTGGAGATCTTTAAATTCATCAGTACTGCTTTCCATTCCTAACGAGGGTGCATTGAATTGATCTGTAGGTGTTTTTACATCTAGTGGAAGTTTATTTTCTGTGTTTAGATGCTGGTTGATGTAGATTACCGTGTTAAAATATTGCTTTCTTTTTGGAATAAATCTAATAAAACATCAAAAATGTAGGTAACCATGGTAACAAGCACTTTATCACCATTTGGAGGTAAAAGGCTTATTTTCTCTTCCTTTTTCTTCTACTGTCTTTTCAAACTAGGGTCATCATCATAAGTCTGTAGGAAGTCTAAATATATTGGACTAACGTATGTGGTAATGTTAAGATGTGGTTTTGTACGTGCCTGTGACCTCTCAGCGATGTTACTCACTGAATCAAAAAGTGGTATCGTGACAGAAGACAGTGCATGTGCAGAAGGCTTTGGAGAGCTAGAGTAGGGAGCTCACCATGTCATAATGGGAAAAGGTAATTTGCCTAAAGCCCTACATGATAAAAACCATTTATCATTGCTTAATCCATCCATCCTTTTTGTGTTGCGTATATGGGTACACAGCATTTAATTTGATTCAGAAAATGTTTAACCTAAAAAGTAATATAATATACTAAATAATTACTTTCCCTTGGTTATTGTCTTGAAAAGACTCAAATGTAACTCCAGCATAATCCCTGTTTGAAAATCCACCAATAAAATCTCTTACAGTCACATTCTGTCATTACAGCTGTAGGAAAACAAATAAAATACACAAGTGTTGCTGTAGTCGTGTCTGTGGGGGTGGGGTGTTGTGTCTCCGCGCAATGGCAGGATGTCTACACCTGCAGGAGAGCTTGTGTGCACTGCATATGAGATGTCTAATTCATCCCCAGTCACTGTATGTGTGCGTGCACGTGTGTTGCTTCTGAGAAAAAAGAAAATGCGTCTGTGTCTTGAGAGTCAAATTAAGGCAGCATACAGTATAAGAGCTCAAGCACATCAGTGTTGTTTCCCAAGTTCTTATTGACAAAGCTTTATTCTCTCTGATGACCACACAGCAACAATCTCCGCGCTCTCTCATTTATCACAAAGAGCTAATGAAGAGGACTCTGGGCAGACCCACGTATGCTTTTGAAGCAAGGCAATATGTTGTAAGTGTGTGTGTGTGTGTGTGTGTGCGTGCGTGCGTGCGTGCGTGCGTGCGTGTGTGTGTGTTCGGCTTCAGTGAGCACCACACCAGATATGTGTGTGTGTGTGTGTGTGTGTGTGTGTGTGTGTGTGTGTGTGTGTGTGTGTGTATGTGAGAGAGACAACAGGTGTGTATTTGGCGTGTATAAACATTGAATAGTTGTGGATGTGTGTGATTAGTAAAAGCCATGTATAACACAGGCAGTAGCCTCATTAATAATTGTCTGAGGAAATTTTCACCATTAATGAAGCAAAACATGCTCACAAAGGAGGCTAGTGTCTGTGTTTGGCTCAGTATTGATCACATGGTTGTGACATGTGCAGAGTCGGAAGAATGATTTTAGAAAATGATGACTTCATCCCTCATCACATGTGCCAGCTTGGGGTCTGCTGTGTCTCGCAGCTGTTTCAGGGCTTCCCCACTGAGCATCTACAAGGGGTCAATTCACAAAGTGTCACAAGCACCTGAGGATGTGAGAGTTATAAGGACGCTATTTATGATACTGAGGAATTACCGCTCTTTACTTATTAAACCTCATGTGGCTGTATGACACGAGGTGCTGGTTACACTTTGGGTCTGGGTCCAGCTTACAGTACCCAGAATTTACCCCTCTGGGGCTTTCTTTGTGCTGGTGTGCCATAGTGCAGCAGTGTTATCTGTCTGTAATATAACTGTTGATCTGTGTCTGTCTCAAGAACAAATCTAAAACGCTCTTTACGGAAAGCTGCAGCTTTTAAGTGGTCCCATGATAAATCACACATAAACTTAGTAATAAAACAAACAGCTAGAGACATAAATGTAAAAATGAACAGCAGTTATTGACTCAAGCTGCTAATTTATAGGAAACCCACTGTAAACAAAACCGAAAGCAACCGGCAGCAGAAAAGAAGTTATGCTGCTCGTCAGGTAGCGCTGAGAAATCCTGAAAGCCAGGCTGATGAGTGCAAACAGTTTTGTTCAAAGGAAAACAAGTCCTCAATGCAATGATGAATGCAAAAGTCGAAGCTAGCTTAAAAGGCTAATTTTCACATTTTTTTCTGGCCTGTTGTTAGAAAGGGAGCATAAAATTGGAGTATAATGTGTCGTACAGAAGCAGACCAGCTTAGACTTTTTAGCTAATTATTCTATAAACATTTTAATTTCACAAAAACATCAAACATAGCTTTTATTTAAATTGTGAGAAAGAATATGAAAGGATCTTTTGGACCAGCTTTACTTGATTCTTTCACTTCAGTTTTTATCAACTTTCAGACAAAAATTTCTCTTTTTCATTTCCGGATACAAAGTCCATATATGACCCACCGGTGACAGAAGCAAAGGCCTGTGTCTTTGCCTGCACTTCTACAAAGTAGTTTTTATACATGTGAAGGTGTGTGTGTGTGTGTGTGTGTGGGGGGGGATCACATAGCAATGACCATAAAAGGCCATTCACAGGTGGATGACTTGATTAGTGGATCTAAGTGAGTAGAGCTCCTCGGTGCACCAGCATGTGACCTTTTAACAGGATTACAAGTCATCTGCTCTGGCTCTACCAACCAGTTGTTGTTGTTAACCTGCTCTATTCTTTGTATTCAGAACCATATCCTCTCCAAAGTCCCTCGCCAAATTCTATCGCTGTTTTAATTTTTGGCTTTCACTGAGCCACTTGAGTTTGCAAAATTTAGAGACCCGTCTATTTCTAAGCTGTTCTTCACGAGTGTGAATATTTGGTTTCTGAAAGCATCTCTCCAGTTTGTCTGTGTACAGTATCTGCCTCCATGTCAACATATGGACCTGCTAATGTGGTAACATGCTTTTGGCGCCCTCTGCTGTGCCCTGTGTGTCATTGTGTAGGCAGCAGAGCGGGATCAAGAAGTAAAGGGTACATTGTCCTCTGTCGTCGTTGTCATTCTCCCTCTACTTCTTAATTTGCATCTGTCTTCCCTTAATTTTTCTCAGTGACTTCATGCTTTTGCAGTAGGTTGGCCTGTTAGCCAACTTTTCTTCCCATTTCTCATGAATTCATCATGTTAGAAATGTTAAACTTCACCACATGAAAAAAAAGAGCGGGGTCTTAGTAGCTAAAATCGTTTCTGATAGAGCTTTTTTTGTAATTACACAGCTAGTATATAAATCAGATTCTTGAAGTTTTAACTACTTTACCCTCTTTTCCTTTTATGGTGAAGTCTGGCAGAGTAAAACATTATTATAAAAATCACGGAAACTATTTTTGTTGAAAGGAAAATAAAACAAATGGCCGTAATATTCTCCTCATGTTGACTTTTATCTGTTGTCTGTTTCTCTCTCCTGCTCTTCGCCATTTTTCTCTCTTCTCCCCCCATGAAGCTTTCTCTCAAGCTGGTAAGCATGACCGTATAACTGCACGACCGTAGCGGCATGACCATAGCACGCATGTGACGTCGTCCCAGTAACACAGTCTCAATAACGTTCTGTACGCTGATTTTTTGGTGTGCTCTTTTTTTTCTCATTTTATTTGTTTTGGATCTAATTTAATTATTAATTAAGTTTTGCTGTAACACAACAACGGACCTGAGACTCACGTCGCTGTCTCATTTTTGTGTTATGTTTGTTTGTTTGTTTTTATGTTGTGATTGTGTTCCCGTTTTGTCTCTCCCAAAATGTGTCTGTGGTCTCTGTGATGCAGATCACACTCAATTCCCACGTCCGGAATCTCATTGAGGTGATCAGATTTACTCTGTGTTTTATTTGTCTGTCCTTTAGTCTGTCTCGTAGTCCTTCTTGTCTCAGCTGATTGTATGTCCCTGTAACATATACTACCGGTAATTGCCGATCTGTAGAAAGCGAGCTCCTGTCCTTACACTGCATGCCACTTCGGTTCCATTTATTGATTTATTGATATTTTTGTGTGTGGTTTGTAAATCTAACACTAGCGAGGATTTCCTCAAAACATAAGGATTAGTGAAATTGTTTAATACTTTTGGGAATCCTTTTCATATTTTGAAACATTCACTTTATGGTGTGTTAAGGGATAATAGTGATACACACTGGAAGTACTGGGAAACAGCTGTCCTGGCTTTATGCAGAAAAACCTAAAAGTTCTCTAACAGTACTTTATCTGTTTTACCTGTTTAAATATGTAAAAAAAAAACCCCCAAAATGGACTAATTAGGTATTGGCAATAAGACGAGAAACTCATATCTGTTTTTAGGGCTAACTGGTATACCAGTTGGAGAAATGGCCTGCCTGCTTTGCCTGTGACTCGCCTTTAGTATCAAAGCGGATCAGAGAGAATCTCTTTGTGTTTCCGGCAAACAAAACTAAAAAGCTTTAAGTGGATAATTAAGCAAAATTCATTTTCAAAAATCCACATGAGTCCGAGTCGTGTCTCTCCATGTTGATTTGTAAGTTGCTTTGCACAGGGGGAGTGTTGATGGGATGGTGCATAGCTTCAAAGAAGAAGTAGTTGATGTAACATAACATCAGAGTATCGCCCTTCATGCAAGGCAGAAAGGAGGAGATCTTCCCCTCTGGACAGCCGTTTCCCTGTCCTTCCAGTCTTTATGTTAAGCATATTTGTACAGACATGAGTTTCTTTTCTGAAAAGAAAGTCAACAAGTGCATTTTCGCAAATTTTAAACAGTTTAAAATTTTTTTTTAAAATGTTGACATTTTACAGCATATGCTTGGTTTGTTTTTGTACGTCAGTGCCTGAGTCAAATAAGACTGATCAGTTTGAACCTTTTCTAACAGTCCATCAACTTTATTGACTACAACATCAAGTTACTAAATGCCTGCATATAGTTTTAGTTTGTTTATTGATTAAATTTAATCACGTAGAATAAATTTACATTTAGATCGTAGTGCCTCACTAGTCTGAGGATACGTGGATACGTAAACACTAATGAGTCATTTCTGTACTGTGATGTTTCACTGATACGAGAGCGTGACATGCCTGCATGCTGACTGACAGATCTTTGTTGTGTTGCATGCCTTTAAGTGTTGCATGCTGATACGGGGAGAAGGGGTAAGGTTGCCGTGGTAACTATCCGGCTCATGTGATGTGAATCCTGACCTCCAGGCTGTAGATCCAGCATTTATTTCCTGTGGTGCCACTGTGACCCATCTCAATGAGATCCAATCACAGGCCTTGACCTCTTCAGTCCACACAGTTCAAAGATTTTCTGCCGATATGTCACTATTTTCGTTCTTTTTTTCCAGCTAATCATAAACTCACTGAACCACAATGCTGCCCCAAATGGAGTAACAATATAAAACAAAGGCCTCATTGCATCTTATTGCGAAATCCTATCATTAAAACCTATGGATAGTCAATTGTTTTTAAACAACAATAGTAGCTTGAACGCAGTATATATATATATATATAGGGTCCAAAAAATTAAACCATGTATCAAGTAAGCTGTACTGCAGTACCAACATTTCTGAGTTATTCCAAGACTTACAGAAGCAGCTAGTTAATTACCTTATCCTTACTGATCAATTTATTTATTAGTTTTGATGCTTTGTTTACAGATGTTTACAGAAAGACTGAGAGGCAGCGGAGCAGCATGACTCATTCTATTCAGTATTACAGTCTCAGCAGGAAACATGACTCCTGTCAAGCCAACCTCTTGCAGCTCATATAACCTTCATTTTAAGAAAGAGCCGTTCCTGTCAGAGAACAGATCCATTAGCTAGCTGACCCTGAAACACTATATGCAATGAAAGGATGTGGCCAAAACTTTATTACATTTCTGTTGCATTTACAGAGCTCTAAATTAGGTGTGGCGACTGAATAGGTGAAAGGCCTCAAGTCTACAGAGCTAAACATCCTAAATATCACAGAGTGTGTTAGAGAGCGGCTGCAGTATCTCCTTCAGTGATTCAGTTAAAGCCTAACAGGAGCTCCATTTATTTACCCTGATACCCATTTATCCCTGAGTCTTGTTTCACAGGGTTAAAAAAAAAATAGAAAAAACCCCAAAAACAGAGAGAGATACTGCACCTATCAAAAACTGATTCCTGCTAAGGCACAAAAAGGATTACTGAAGTTGGTTATTTTCTTTGAGTATTTAAAAAAGTTTCCATGGTGTGATTTTTTTTTTTCAGGGTTCTGTACCGGAGGACTTCAGTCACCTGCCGCCAGAGCAGAGGAGGAAGAAGCTGCAGGGCAAGATCGATGAGCTGAGTAAAGACATACAAAAAGAAATGGACCAGAGGTATTCAGAGGGGTTTTAATCTAGCGTTATAAATCTTTCCATTCTGTTCTGAAGCCTCAAAGACTTACAAATACTTGCTCTTCCAGAGATGCTTTGACTAAGATGAAAGACGTGTATATAAAGAACCCTCAGATGGGAGACCCGGCCAGTGTGGACCCCCGGCTAACAGAAATAGGTCAAAACATTGAGAAGTTCCAGTCTGAAGTACAGAAATTTGAGGTAAGTTCAGTGTCTGTCTGAGCCCCTATTCCTTTTTGAGTGTTAATGTTGGCAAGGCTGTGTTGTTTGGTTTATCTGAAACAGTAAATAATGAGGAGCTCAGACACACATCTCCAGCTGGGGTAATTCCAAAGAAGACTGTCGCTTATCCATATTAGGAGAAGATGCAAGGCAGCTGCAGGGATTGGCTGCATGTTCCATGTTCTCTGTGCAGAGAGAGAAGTCCCAGAACAATGGCCTGGTTTAACCGTGTAAATAAATGGGGGAATGCAAGGATGAGGTGTTCGTTCTGTGCTAGGTCCTTGCCGAATGTAAAGTTATCACAGATAAAAAGAATTCCTCAAGTTGTCATTCGTCCAAGTTGTCATGTAATAAAAATGAAAAGCTAGAGCCAAATAATGATTGCGTGTGTTTCAGGGCTGGTTAGCAGAGGTGGAGGAGAGGATGCCGTCTAAGAGTGATTCACACCGGAAAAGCGGACTCTATGAGACCCAGAATAGCACAACAGTGAGCAACAACTGTGCACAGGACAGAGAGAGGTATGGTATACTTTGGCAAAAAGCAGCCACAGAACCCAGAGTAACACACATGACTTTTTGGGAAGAAATCGATGTGTGTTTTCACAGTATATTTACTGTGTGTGTGTTGGCCCCTGAGCAGCCCGGATGGCAGCTACACAGAGGAGCAGAATTCAGAGGTTCAGGTCAAAGCCCAACCCATCCCCACCCCAACCACCACGACGGAGTTCGATGACGAGTTTGATGATGAGGAGGTCCTGCCTACCATCGGCACCTGCAAAGCCTTGTATCCCTTCGAAGGTAACTGCAGCCACATTGGTTTAAAATAAAAATGGTCAATGTAAGTATGAAGCCTGCTCGTTGGCTGGTGGCTGCTGCTGAGGTCCCGTTATTTCTGGAAATAAGCTGAACCTGAGTCTGATGGAAAACGGGTGGAGGAGTTTGTTTCCTCTGAATGAGGAGGAGGAGTAGGGATGCGATCTTTGTGTTCAAATGTGTGGAGGAGTATGAATAAAAATACACTCATTTCTCAGTTGCACTATTTCAAAATCAAATTTGGAAAATTATTCAAAGCTGCTAAACATAAAGCTCAGTGCATATAAAGAGGCGGTAAAGATCAATCTTACTTTAGCTGTAGCGATTGCTGGGTTAACGGTGAAATTGTGGTTCATTGTATAGGTTAAACTAGTTTTTCAGTTGTTTTTCAGTTTTTCAGACCTTTGATGAGTCATAATCATGAATATTAGAATAGCAGTAATAAAGTAATTCTGTAATACTGCAGTCATTCAGTCATTCTGGAGGGTTTTTCTTTCAGCAAGGCTACATAACCAAATGCTACCCGCCCTACTGGCAACAAGAAATGAGAGAAAAGTCCCAGGAATAACCCCAGTCCCTACTGTTGCAGATTACAGTCACGTAAATGAATTACAGTTACACATATTTCCAGAGAGCTCACCGCCCTGTATACCTTGTGTTTTGGCATAAAACCTTCATACTCAAACATTTGTTCAAAAGTAAAAAAGGAGTGTACTCTCAAAAAAGCAATTTGATTACAGATAAGGTTTCCACATAATTGTGTTACGCAAGTACAGCGTAAAAGATTAAACTTACTGGAATCTGGTCTATTGAGATCTACTTGAGCAAAGCACAACATTTAACAAAGCAGCAAAGTTTAACCACATAACGACATCACAAAAAACAAATAAACTGTAACACAATAACGTTCATCTTGGAGTTGTATTCCCTTAATTATCTGGTTATGGTTTTTTGTAGGGCCTCAAACATCTTGGCTCCCCAACCCCAGCCCCCCAGCTCCAAAACTGAATAAGAGGGGCTTACACTGAGTAACACTTTCCTAACTAATGTATCCATAAATGTTTACTTTTCAGAAATAGATTAAATTTAGAATTTCTGTTAAAATGGGTGGATCACATGAAGCACTACTAATTGTTAAAACTACCTGTGCTTATTCATATATGTTGACTCAGGACATGTTAAAGTGCCTGTGGAGTTTCTACAAGTAGTCTCTGACTATATCCCTGCTGTACAGCATCTGGTTTTGCTTCCTCTTTTCTTGCATCTCTGATTTTCAAAGTGCGCTACTAATCAACATGGTTCCTATTAATATACAAAGCCAGCGTTCTTATCTTCTGTTGGTTTGCGGCTGTTCTCTCCTGCAGGTCACAATGAGGGCACCATCTCCGTGGCTGAGGGTGAGCTGTTGTACGTCATAGAAGAAGACAAAGGAGATGGCTGGACACGCGTGCGGAGGAACGAGGATGAGGAAGGATACGTGCCCACATCCTACGTTGAAGTGTTTTTGGAAACGAATGCCAAAGGTGCTATGACATACATTTAACTCAGCAAGTTCTTGCTATGACAGTTTTTGTTACTCTGTATTCCATTCACGTGCTGAACGAGTGGGGCAAGTTGCAGAGATTATAGATGCTAGTTCACACACACACACACACACAGACACACACACACACACACACACACACACACACACACACACACACACACACACACACACACACACACACACAGACACTTCACGCCGCTCCACAAAGAAGGAGCAATCGGATTTGTCCATTGTGCCTCATAGCGTAGCGTGAGCTGTGCCAATCAGATATCATGTCTAAGAAGTGTTTGAGGTGAAGCCTCTCTTATTCACGGCAGTGCCACCTAGTGGTCATTGAAAATAAAACATGGCACACTCAAAGCTCATGATGGCGCAAATCAGCACCTAACAGTGATCACCTGTATATTTGAGACATTCAGTATTTGATTTTCTTTTAGGTTTTAAAATGTTGAATAACAATATTCTACTCAAATAAAAACACTGTTAATTAAGACTTTGAGCCAGAACTGTGGCCAAAGCTGAATCTGTGTGGTGATAAATCAGCTGAGTGAATGTAAGCACCATGTGAAGAGGCAGTGACCATCAACTCAAAGTTACATTTTTAGACGTTATTGTGTTTTGGTCACTTGACGTACCTAAAAAGAAAGAATGCTCAATGTGCAATCAAGCAAATGTAATTTAAATCAGCTGTACAGTATGAAGACATATCAAGAGATATTTTTGTAGGTTAAACTAGATTAAAAATCATGCTGCTGCCTCTCAAGTGTTGCATGCTCTAGATAAATTACAGTGTTGTTACAACAAGAACAAGTTATTTTCCCCTGTAAGGGGTCATTTTTTAAAATATTGTCCAGTTTAATAACATTAATAGCCGCCTTATAATGTTTCCTTTTTCTAAATTCACCTTTTGATAATGACAGTGTTGGGCTGTTCTGGTCCTTTTTTGCAGGCCAGTGGTAAAAGAATAAAGGACTGAAGTATTAGCTGAAGTAAACTATGTATGGTGAGGCTGAGCTGGGATATGGAGCTGGTCATGACTCTAAAGCTTTGTGGTTTGTTTGCATCGGTCTCTGAAGTGTTTACACTAAAAGCATGGTGTGTGTGTAGCCTCTAGGTCGTTTCAGTGCTCTGTTACTCTTTTCCAAGATCAGGGCTCTCTCAAAAATCACTCTCACTCTTTTAAAGACACAACTCACCTCAAAATAGAATTTACACATTTTTCCTCTGGCCTCTAGTGCTATTTTCTTACTGTGCAACTACATCCACTAACTGTAAAAACCATGCAGCTAGCTAACATTAGCAGAGGGGGGCACCATTGATGTAAATGGTAAATGGCCTGTATTTGTATAGCGCTTTACCCCACATTCAGTCATCCACCCATTCACACACTGGTGATGGCAAGCTACATTGTAGCTACAGCCACAGCTGCACTGACAGAGGCGAGGCTGCCAGTCACTGGCGCCACCGTGCCCTCTGACCACCACCAGTAGGGTGAAGTGTCTTGCCTAAGAACACAACGACCGAGACTGTCCGAGCTCGAACCGGCAACCTTCCGATTCCAAGACGAACTACTAACTCCTGAGCCACGATCGTACATGCTGTCACTCTGCTATGAATGCCCAGTGAGACAGTTTAGGTAAACGGGTTTTACATAAATCTGCTCGCACCAAAACAGTCTAGATCAGGGATGACAAAAGCATTTCACACTGTGGACCACATATAGCTGCATACCCATTCTACTCCTCTTTCTGTAAGTGTAAAAAAAGTCAAATTAAACATTTAAACTTTGAGATATCTTAATATAATTTTTTAAAATAAGGTACAATTTCAACGGGACACCTCAGTTTTTTGTACATAATAAAGAAAAGCTGCTGTAGTAAATGACAGAAATCTGTTAGAATGACTCTTTGGGCTTAAATGGTAAGAAACAAATTACAGAAAAAGTTTTAGGTGTAGCACATTGGCTGCCCTGTAATTAATAGCATTTTTCTTTTGTTAATTCACAGAAAATACCTTTTTTTTTTTTTTTTTTTTTAACTGTATACACATAAAAAAAAACAAAAACAAAACGTTTCTGTCATTTCATTTTTTTTTTCTATAACCGAATTACTTTAGTGTAGTGTGAATAGTTATAGGCTGTTTTTTATCATTAAAGATTAAGCTGGAAAACTTATAAAGAAATTTCCAAAGCTGTCCAGTGGGCCTGGTTAGGAGTCTTTGCCAGGCCGATTCTGGACCCTTGGTCTTATGTTTGACACCACAGATCTAAAAATAGTACTACAGGCCAGATATAGTATGATTTTGGGAGTTGGAGGGTCCCTTGTATCAGTTTTGAAGATTTGTTACAGCCATAGCATGGCCGTATGTGCGAGGTGTAACTCTACATCAGGTTTAACACACAGAAATTGTGAAATTTGGTGTGTGCTGTGGCGTTTGTGGGAGTTTTATCGTAACAGGATTACAGCGTGTTGTGATAGTACAGCCATTTCATTCTAACATGCATTCAAGCCCAGTGGTTTTAGTTAAACAGATGCATGTTTGTGTTAATTCAGGTCGTACAACACACGTCTTTCTTGGAGATACAGTAGTAGTACCAGTTTAATGTAGTCTCATATTTAATGCAATGACCTCCTCTCCATATCTGAATATATGGGTTGGTCTTCACTTCTTTTTAAAGCTAACTCTTCTTTTTGTTATTTTTTGTTGTTTGTATTTTCCTTTTTGAATTACAGATTCCTAAAAGTGTGAGGCTGGCTGAGGAATGGCAGGGCAAGCAGCCTCGGAGAAACCACCACGTTCCTCACATGCTCACAGAGTCAGAGAGAAAGATGACCTGAGTCTAAAAGAAAGAGAGACGGCCGATTAGAACGCATCTGAATTTTCCAAACAAACAAACAAAAAGTTTAGACAGAACGCATCGAAAATTTAGTGCTCATAACTTCTCCATTTTTAACCCCCATTCAGCAGTCACAGCCGCAGTACACAAACGGCTTTATGTTGTTTGCAGCAACGCTTTGCTTTTTAATGAAACTAACTGCTCGCACCATGTGCGGTCATGACTGAGGCTGCTGGCTTCCCTGGCTCTGCCACTTCTCTTTTTTCCTTCCCTTTGCCCTGTGACACACAAACACACACACATACATGAAGGAGGGTGTGGTCAGAGACAGGACGGAGACCGACAGGAGCGGACGGACAGAAGAAACAGGTGGATGAAACGCTCGCTCGCTCACTGACTCGAGACAGAATCATCCCAGCTTCATCTGACGCCACAAGATGCTCATACTCACGCCTTCCACTTAAATCAGCTCTGTATTTGCAGGTTTCACTTAACTGGAATCAGAAGAACTGAAGGTGCTAATCATCTGTCTTTGTCTCCTGTGCTTCTCATGTACGTTCGTTTGATCTCAGTGGTCGTTGGTCTTTTGTGTCACAGTTTCCACTTTCCTCCTCACCAAGATCACTTCCACATATCCAGGACCAGCTGAAGGGGCAGAACTCTAGATGATGGTGTCATCCACCATCCATACCATCCAGCCATTTCTTGTTCTGTCACTGGTGCCTGTTCCTCTCTCTGACCACACCCCACCCCCTTCCTCACCTCCACAGCCCTTCCCCCCTCCCTCAGGCTATGGCGGCTCAGGCTAGCTCCCATGGCTGCTTTAAGCCTTTTTTTGTTTTTTCTTTTCTTTTGCAACAGGGCGGGGGTCCCTCAGCATTGTGGTGTGCTGCATGCTTGCCCTGTCTTCCTCCTCGCCCCTGTGCTGGCGGGTTGGAGGAGGCGGTGGGGGTGTTAAGCCTGCTTACGCCCCTTCCCTCCAGCCTTTAAGTTCAGTTAACCCTCATTGCCTAGTCATACTGTTTGAATTAACCTGAATGCTATTGTTTGGGTTTGGTGCCTGTGGGTCTTTTTTTTTTCTTCTTTTTTTTTAATTACGTACATGTTTTTTCAGTCATCTGTTCAGAAAGCATGTTTCCCTGTTTTTAACAGAAAGTAAGTGATCTCAAATTTGTGTAGTTTAATCACAAAAAAGGACGATAGGAACCCAAAGTGTCATTATGTTTTTTGTTTTTTTCTTTTTTCCTGAATGATCTCATGCATAGATAGGTCAAGGTTGTTTTGTTTTTTTGTAAGTACAGTACGTATGAGAAGTGTTAGTTTGCTATGTTTTGATCAGAGCGTCTAATGCAAGTTGTTAGTTTAAAGTTAATCACCTTGTGGAAGTGGCTCCACTTGGTCCAAGCAGCACCCAAAAATGAAACCTATGAAGATATGAGTTACACCCGATGTTTGTAACAAGCTCCACCTACTGTCTACTGTATATGAAAATATACTGTGATCGTTTTCCTGTGAGTTTTTGACTGAAATGTGACAACACGCCGATCATCACCCGTTTTGGGCCTTAACCAGGTTTCACTGAGAGGAGGAACGATGCTGACGTTCGCTGTGGTATGGTGAGGAGACGAAGATGTGATTATCTCGAGGGGGCAAATTTCTAATCATGAAACTGTCAGGGTAGAGAAATGATGTCCACTGATTCCCCCTGCTCAATGGCACATAATGCACGTGATTTTTTAACATTTTTGTTTCATATATGACGAGTGAAGATTCTCTTTTTCTTCCTTTTTTTTCCTCTCTTCTTTTTTTAAAGCTGGAATGATATGTTGTTGCTTATTGTACCTGAATGGGACTAAAATCCCTTAACTGCAAACATGAGTAACCGTTACATTGTTTTTATGTTTTGGATGAAGCCATCGTATATTTGTCTAATGCAGAATTTTATGAACACTCCCCGTGTGGAGGAATGATGGACGTACTGATCATTTGGACTGCCGATGTAAGGAATGATCAAATCCCTGCTGAATCAAATACCACGTTTGCTTTCGCCCCTCTCATCGCTTCACACATCACGGTGATCAAACAATGTCTGGCAAATGATATGATTAAATCTGATGAGGCAGCAGTAGCTTTAGGGCAGGCTTTGCTCTGACACGAAACCACCACAAACCTTTTCTGTCGATGCCCCAGAATAACCCGCGTGTACAGTGGAAATGGCGTGATGGAATTAGAGAAAATATATATGAGTATATAAATAAAGTTTAAAAAGGAAAACATCTATTTTAACTATGGAGAGTCTTACCATTACTTTATCTGCTTTGCAAAGTAAGACTTCTTTTCCTTTGTAAGGTCTACCAGATGGTGTGTTTTTGCACTTTTTCGTTTGTGTTCCATTCGGTAGGCCACATGCTTGTGTTTTGGAGCACTGAATACTTTGTATTGTGTTTACTGTGCCAATTAAATATGCCTGGAGAGTAAACGGTGTATTGTCTGCTTGTTTTTCTTCTCTCGATGAGCCACAAAAGTCACATCAATCACCATTAACTGCATCAGCAACTTGAACCATAAAACACAATGTGAATGGAGACAGATAAAGTGTGATGGCAGGGCTTTATGATTTAATTACTCTTAACACAGACCACTTGTAACACACTTTGTTTTATAACTAAAGATTCTTTTTGTCATTTTTATACTCGTGTTTTAATAATTTAGCCCATTAAAATGATGCAAGGATAAAAAATGACAAAAGCATTACAAGTTGTGAGGGCAAAGAATGACTTGCTCATATTTCTTCTTTGTTGGAACAACAATCCAAATGTGAAACCAGTTAACTGACTTTTTCTTACTCTGCTGTTCACCATACAAATGTGGATAATTTATTATATTATTAGTCATTTTAATGAATACATCAACCATTCCTATGATTAAAGGCACAACATTTGGATTTAGTCATCTACTATCAGAAAAGGCAACACTACCTTTTACAAGTCTCTTTTACAGCAGTGGTGTACCCAAAGCTACTCATGCCCCCCAGAGGTCTGTCAGCTTTAAACCCTTTCATCCACCCCTCCTCTCATGTTCACATGTGTTCAACAAACGCTGAACTCATTTTTCAGTCTGGTCTCTGGACTGCTTTCAGTTTACCATTTACTACAGTCAGACATTGCTGGTTAGCAAGCTGCCATTAATTTGTGACTTTAGTTGCGCTCAAACAGTTCTTTATGTTTATTGACGACAGCTGTTTACCCGTGATTACTGATGGTAATCCACACTTCACATAAAGATAATATTTCAAGACGGCTATAGCCATGTCATTCACGTCTTTGGTAAAATATTCCATATTTCTATTCATAATTTCAACAATTTTTGCTGCTTATTTGTTTAGCTTCGCAAGCAATTTTAATGCTAACACAGATTTGCTTACCTGTAGTGGTAACAGCAGTTTTTACAACTCATACATGGCTTTAACATTCAGCATTTGGCCCTATATCCGACCCCACTGTGCAGTGGTCCACTGGGCAACGTGTAGCCCGGTTTGGAATCTGTGTGCTAATATGTACAACTGCAACATAGCCTGAGCACACTTGCATTGCTAAGCCCCCCGCCCCCATGCCACACTGCACTGTGGTTACACAAAGCTTTGTATATCAAAAACTTTCCTTTTTAGCTCCAGATGCAGTCCCACATCTCGTCCAGCAGAGGGTAGTCGTGCTCCATTCTCAGCTATGGTAATGTCACTTGAATGGTTGGGAGTGTTACACTTTTTATTGCCTTATTTTTCAGCAACAGTGCTGGAAAAAAAGGAAGTATTTTTCAGGGATGGAGCTGAAAAATAAAAACGCAGATGGTTCTTGAATTATGTTTAGTGCTCACTGGACAGACCTCAGTTTGGATCATGTTGTGTTTACTTAACTCTCTCTCTCTCTGTCTCGTAGCATTTTATGTCCAGTGTACTTCTTTAAAAAGGTGTTCGTACTAACTGTACTGTTATTGGATTGCATCTGGCAGTCAGACACTGGCAGTAGTCACATATATTGATTCTGGACCACTAAGCTGCAGCCTGATAAATCCCAGCTGCCCCACTGTATGCAGGTGCATGCTGTGTAGCAGATGCAGCACTCACTTCCTCCACCACACTTCACCACACTTTCAAAAAGCCTCATTGGCTTTTGCTCCCTAGAACTCCCCAGTAGCCTGAAAGGGCTAAAGAAAATTAATTGCTTCAGTGGATCCTACAAGGCAAGGAAGTTTGTGTCGTCAACACGATTCAGAGCTTCTTCCACTTTGCTTTTTTTTTTTTTAATTGGTTTATTCAGGAGCGAGTTTATATCACATGCAGGAGGTGCCCTGCAATAGCAACATTTTCATCTGTAGTCAAGTGCAGGAAGGAAGGCATGTTGCAGCCATGTGTCATCCTCAAAGTGCAACATCACACAGTACATGTGAAACAGATGACGAGAGAACAGACGAAAATTGAATTACAAGACATAACTGTAACCAGCTAAGCTCACATAAGTCATTCAAAAATAGCTAGCTTTTGAATTATTACATTAAAGGTGAAAATAAGTAGATGGCAGCAAAGCGTTACATGTTCATTTCTTTCATTCGCCTGGTTGGCAGGTTTACTTCATTTGCTTTCTGTGGAGATGATCACACCATTAAAATAGGGCCACTGCTTCTAGCTTTAAGGATTGATGATTAAAGCTGCCTCAGACTAATCTTCCATCTGTCTTGGAGCCCAAATAAGTCAGGGAACAGTCTTTACAGATTTATGGGCTAGTATCACTCACTCGCTGATGGATCCTCACACCTTTGTAGGAAGTCATGTACGTTTTATTGTAACCAACAACAAGTGAAAATGGTTTGCTGTTAGCTACACACAAACTGATACGTTGCTTTTGCTTTGATGACTCTGGGTATCCATTTACCATTTATAACATATGTGTTTACTCTATAAGGCTGGTTCTAAAGAGGCATTTTTATTGTTGTTATTTACGTTACACATTATTTCTAGCTTCCACTAGGGGGCGATACCCATAGTAACAAAAATACTTTGAATTCTTTAGATTGTCAATGGGAAAACAACCCTTGGCTCTGACCTCAGTAAACACTTTCTTGGTGAGTTTTATTGAATAAAATGAATAAAGTCAGTTTTATGAATTTTGGCCATTTTCAGTGTCGAAAATAAGGATTATTCAGGCTATGCTCACTTGTGATTGACCAAGGATGTTAGATAATGAGCATGTGGCATTTTGAGATTTATACTGTCTATGCAGTGCTCTCCTATAATACTCCATGGCTTTGTTCATACAGTACAACTGTTAGTTGCTTCAGTGTTCCAACACCCTCTAATAAGAAACACAGCAGTGCAGCAGGATGAAAGTAAGGCAGGAGAAGATTCTGTTCTGCACAATCAACTGACTATTCAGTCCTAAAAATTGGACTGAATGTGGATGCTGATGCTATGGCTCAAGGGTCTGTCAGACCACTAGTTTGTTCCAGGCTTTACAACACTGTACAAATATAAATGGGGCACAGAAGCTGGGAATAATACTTTTACTGTAATGGCACAAAGAAGTTGGCATTTGCTTTCTTTAGTTAGTAATTGCCATGAAATCTGCTAGAGGTCATATCCAAGTTAATACGCATTGTGACAAGTTGGAGCATCAACTAAGAGTATTCCCGTCAACTTTCAGATCTATTTTGTTTGCAAAAGATAACGCCTGCTGAACATCAGCATGTTATCTCTTTCTTTTATCTTTGTTGGCTTGTTAGCATGCTGACATTAACATTTAGCAAAAAGCATAGCATGCTTACAGTAGCTGGTTTTTATTTTCTGAAAGGTGTAGATTTAGATTTAGTATAATCTTACATCTAAATGACCCTGTTATTCTTTACTCAGACCTCTGTAATTTTACTTATGTAGCCAGAAGTATGAACTTAAGTAAAACCATATATTTGATGATTTTAGAGTGATCTCCACAAAACCCCTCCAGAAAAAGATGGTCTCATGACTTGGACTTTGGCATGATGACTTCAAAGATTCAAAATCCTTGAAAATCCCAAACTGGCCAACTCTTCATACGTCACAAATTTAAAAAGGGTGTCGACTTGAACACTCTATGCTACTGTTGCACTGTCAGGCTTTTTCCAGCGAATCAATAAACCTGGTGTATAAATTCAGCAGCTTGTTTGGAGGTTTGTAAGAGACTTTTTGCCACTTACCACAGTCTGCTTTACCTGCTGCTTTCGCTCTGTTCCATTACTGCTATGTTCCTGTCTTGCCTGGAGTGAGAGCAAGCCGCCTGATGGGGAAAACACACCTCTGGAGATCAGCCCAGTCTGTCCCATCATTAACAGCCAGTGGGGGCTGGCATCCATCTGTGAAATGAATCAAGGCTGTCACCTCATAAGCTACCTTTGCAGCTTGTTTCATTCATTTATTCATGTATTTTTTTACTTCGAATTTGGCATTGTAGTTCAAAAGGTCCTTTCATTTTAGTGCTGTTTGAGCATTTTTCATGTGTTAAGTCACCACAACCTATTTCAACTTCCTGAACAATTATGATTGCTACATATGATCAAAAAAATATTTAATGTTACTACATGTTCTTCATGTCCTTTAAGCGATGCCAGCCGAAAGGCCCTGCGGGCCTCGTGGACCTCTTTCTCCTGTCCTTCTGATGACGCTGAGCGTTAATACAGCGCAGGTCCACACAACGAGGAAGGCTTTTCACAGGTTTTGCAATAGCAACGTCAAATTAATCCTGAAACGAGTAAACAGCTTTCATTTGTGAACAGCGCTCAGTTCCTGGCCTGCCGCTGCTCCGTCTTTTTCACTGGGACCATCTTCAGCTTTGGCAAATTTCTCAAAGCCAAAATATGCTGAATCCTTCCCAAAGGTATGACAAATGTGGGAAAGGAAGACACAAACCACCAGTCAACAAAAGAAGCTTGGCCACCTCAGACCACTTGGTGGATATCAAGCTTTGCAGACACAAAGGCCATTAATAGCCAGTGCTTCAAAATTTAAAAACAAACAAAATGACGTCAGCAGTGGCATTTCTCTAAATTAAAGTGCAGATGTTTCTCCAGTGTAACAAAGAGGAAAGCTAGTTCCTCCATCTGGAATAGCTATGCTGTCAGCAGACCGGGTCCTGAGCTGAGCTAATACTTGGAGTGTGGCGCTTGGTTTCTGTATTTTTAATATCTTGCACATTACAGCCAAGACTGTCAAGTCAGCATTGTACAATACAACCTCTTGCCACTGCCATTTGGCAATAAGCACTCAACATGGCTTACAAACATCTAACTACGGAGCAAAGATCTCTGATTTATGCTTGTCTGTCATTTGGACTCAAGTGCAGTCATTTGGCTGAGCTGTCCTCTTTTGGCCAGAAGCCGTTTCCTGTTAGGTAAGACAGGCAACTGGGGGCACTCAAGGAGCTGACTGAGTGTGGGAGCTGCTGTGGCTACAACATTCA